AAATGGGCCAACCCGCCAACCCATTTTTTATATTTTTTTAATTTATTTTTTATAATTTTTTAAAAAACACACTTAAATAATAAGTTTTAATTTAATATTTTTTCATGATTCATTATAAATATATTAGAATATTATTTTATAATGTTTGTATAAAATACATAAATTGATACAACTAAGTAAATCATATCTGAAATGGTTTATATTTAAAAAAAAAATTCTCCTTTTCTCCTTTTCTTAATTTTTTTAACAGTAATATGGGTTAAACAGGCCAACCCTAACCCATCAGAGTTAACCCATATGATTCACGGGTTATATAGTCAAGGCCTAAAAAATTCATTTTATTTGGGTTATTTTTTTTTCAACCCAACTTGACCCTTATGATCGATTATTCAAACCAATCCACACAACTTGATCCATATTCCCAAATCTACCAAATGTCATTTATTTTCGTACATATGAGACCCACCATGCATTAATCTCTCAAATCTTCTTACTTTCATTTTTAGTCTTAACTTAAAAAGAAAATGTTTAAAGAGTTATTATCTGAAGGAATTTACAAGGACGATATCAATGAAGTAAAAACTTGATTTTACTACACACAAGAGAAGCTTGATTTTAGCTTAATTTAGCCACGAATTATTTCTTCTATTTTTTTGGTGTTGCCTTCGTGAATGTATTCAGATAAGAACTCCTTGAACCTTTTTTTTTAGCTGAAACTGAAAATAAATGTAAGAAAAATTAAAAAGACTGATGCATTGTGGGTCTTATAAGTCTAAAAATAAATGACATTTGATCAAAATTAATGAGAATGTATTAAATGGTTTGTTTTTTATAGTAGATGTTATCAAATGTTCCTCAAAAAATAATTTGTGGCTAAATTTGTACCTTTATGCTAACATAAAATATTCATGGAGTATCACGTGTCATTATGGGCTTTACATAATATCCATCTATTAAAGTTAACCCAGGGCTATTATTGATACTTTGTTTTTTAAAGGCTATGGTTTGTTTCGCACCATCTAATGGTTTGGGCTACTAGATGTTATTGGAAAAATAGTACATGCTAGATTTACAACTTTACCCACTTATTTTTGGTATTTCTTGTTTTTTTTATTGATATTAGTTTTTATTTTTTTTTAGTTTTATTTTTTACTAAACTAATCCTATCACTTCTATAAATTGAGTTCTACATATCATATACATATCTTACTTAACAAATTTACCAGTAAATTGACTTGATTTTGTATGTTAGAAATGTAAAAATGATAAATTCAAAGAGATAACTTATGAATTTAATTGAGTTTCATCCAATTTGGGTTTATGAATAAATTAATACAATTTTATAAACTATGAATGAAAAAATTGAAAAATTTAAAGAGTTAATTCGAGAGTTTAACAATATTATTAGTAAATATTTAACAAGTTCATAATGTAAATAGACATAAGAGAATCTACTTTAAAGCTGAGATAAAGTTTCCTCAATATTATCATCATGTCCATGAAATGATACAGGATAAAATCTCACTGTCTTCTTCCTCTGTAGCTGTGCAATCTGGGAGGTAAAAGCTGTTGCCTAGAGTTATGGAGTGGAGTGGTTTTAGATTTCAAAATTTCCAGTCTTTGATAAAGCTTCCCTATTCTCTCCTTGGCTTGCTTTTACCTTTTTTAAAATTCCTCGCAGTGGCACTACCCGCTTCCGTCATAAAATCGCGAAAACATTCTAAAATTATTAAAAAAAAATATCGCGATCTTTTTAAAAATTAAAAATTTGAAATAAGAAATAGCTGAGAATAAACGCACATATTTTTATTGTTACAATTTCTTGGAACTCTATGATAATGTTTATTTTACAAGGTTACTCGTGGCTCTTCTAGATAACGATGTACTGGAGGAGCAGACTTCCTTTTATAAAAGAACAAGCACTAGACAACGCAAGTGTTTCTGACTCACCTACTTATTCTTTCTATTCAACTTTGTCCATTGAAGAATGGTGCGAAGGACAATTCTTTGTTTCAAGATAGAACTTGTGCTCAGCCTTTTTTGAGTTGGTTTTGTACTGTCCCAATTCACAAGTGATTCAATAATTAAGAGCCATGTAGGTGGGTAAGGTTTGAGCAGTGGATTGAACCAAGGAAATGAAGGACACGTCCAGTGTTGAAATTTCTAACTGCACATGACGCGAACATATGCCCTTACGAACTATTTTTCTGCTTTTTCTCAAAGGAGCCTCGTTGGTACATTCATCCCCCAACAAACATTTTTCTGTAAGTCTGTCATTTATCTTCTCACCATGCTTGACATAAAATGTGCTGTGTTGTATTATTTTTTGCATACGGTTGTTTTTTTCTTCTTGGTATGCTTGTCAAGTTTTGGAAACCATGTTAAATTTTAACCAAATCTTATAGAACCATGTTGGACCATATAGGTATGACTCTCTTGCAATGACCAATTTTCCCTACTTTTATAAACAAGAAATTCTACTTAGGAGGAATGAGCGATGTTGAATTTAAACTAATTGCGATTGATTCGTTATGTATTTCTCTTGAAACTAAGTCTATACCAACTTGAGATTAAAAAACCATCCAGACTCTTTTATCTTCGAAATAATTGTATCAAAGTTGCTAGATAGCGTCTGAATTACCAATAAATTCAGAGACATTTATTTCTTTTCTTCTATTTTTTTTCCCTTTTTGAGAGGGAGGTTTAAAGTAGATGAACGCGGCACAAATTGCAACATCAAGATTTTGCAGTGCAGATTAACTTCTTTGATCTTTTATTTTTTTGCTTTCTCTTGTCTTTTTGGATATTCAAGCAATTTCAATCTGGTTTGAAGCTGTACTCTTAAACAGCAACTGTTGAAAAGAAATATCCTCCATTCGGTTCTTACAACGTATGTAGTTTGTTAACATTGCCCGCTCGAATGCTTGCCATATTTCAATAATCAAGCTTCTTCGTCAAATGCAGTCCTAATGGGATGGCTCTTTGTCCAAGGGAGAATCAATATCAACATTGAACACACACATGTATATTCACCAAATATATATATATATATATAGAGATATATATAAAATATTGCAAGAAGCCAGATTATACATATAATCTATATGTACGCGTAATATAATTTAACGCCGACTATATGCAAAATACAAGATCCGCGACCTAATTATCAATCTAATCCAAAGTTTATAGAAGTAGTTTTGGAAGTAGAAAAGAAACATGATTATTATCTCTTATCACAGTGAGATCTTGTAAGGGGGGAGAAAGAGAGAACGCGGATGAATCTGTCACTTTCATAACTTTTTTATAATTCAAATAATTTCTACTTGTAAGGGAAAAAAAAATCAAGAATCTTTAGCTCCCACCCCTCTCCTCTGTATCTTGTCCCCAAGGTATCCAATCCTGTATTCGTCTATAAGGAGAATGGGAGTGGGGCCTACATGATAGATTTGTAATATTGATTGAAATTAAAAGTAGGCTAATTTTGTAAGGGAAGCATGAAGATATTAGATAATGTTATACATAGAAGAGAATGAAGTAAAACACAGAACATTTCAGCAGCTTCTAGCTACTTTCCACTTTCTATCTGGGTAAGTTCTTGGAAGTTTGAGCCTAAATATGCTTAGTACTCATTGAGCAAGAATAACTGAGCTTTGCTTTTTTTTTTTTTTTTTGAGAAAACATACCTTTTGTCCTTGTATCTTACTCATATTTTGCTAGAAATTCCTATACTTTTTTTTATGTTTTGGATTTTCATACTTTTATTTTTTAGTGTTTTAGGTCCTTAAATGAATAAAATAAACATAGTGTAAAAACTTTAAATGAATGTAAAATACCGAAAAATAAAAGTATAAGGATCTAAAACACTGAAAAAAAGTGCAAAGATTTATAGCAAAATATGAGCAAAGTATAAGGATCAAAATATATGTTTTTTGCCCCCCTTTTTTTTAATGAAACTGTGTCTGCTGTGACATATATCATTGTAATATATATAATTCTTTTTGGTGTGACATTATTGTATACCTCTTAACTGAACTTACTGAGATGTTGCAAAAGTAAACCAATGAAATGTTGTCATGTTTGATAAAAAAACAAAAAAATCAAGCCGATTCAATTTATCACTAGGCATGAATAATGATTGCGTAAATTAATTTGTAAATAGCTTACACCAGCAATCCAAGGCGTCTATGAAATATTTCAAAACTGAAAAAGGAAGTTTCTTTGCTGTCACCTTCATGGGATTCCTATTATTTCCTATGCATCACGGGTAAGTTGCTCGCACAAACTCACTCATATGATTTTATATGTATGTTTGTATATTTGCCAAATTACAAACAAGGTTATATAACTGAAACATCTTCATGGATCACTCACGTTATGTTGAGCCTCAGAAGTTGGTTTGCTCTTTTATTGTGCTCGCGGTTAAACGGTCGACAAAGGCATGCATAAAAGACGACTATAAGAACCCATCATAAAGTCCAGTAAATCTCAGCCCCATACTAGTTTCCCTCCCCAGCTTCTGGACCATCATACCCAATATCGCGATAGGGACCACCAGCTCATGAGTCCATCACCAATAAAGTCTTTACTTGAGCCTCATGCAACCCAATCCAGAAACAACGTGTAATTATTCTCCTGTGTAATTCTCCCCAAGTTGCAGGGTCATCCTTTTTGGTGAAAAAGTGCTTCGTCTCAATCATTTTGGTGGAATGCTGGTTTCAACTTTCAAGCTATTCACTCATTCAGCGACTTTGACCCTCAACCTTAGTAATAAATATAGTTGATTATTGAGCTCTTTGTATGGCAAGGACGGGCCCACGAGTCCCTGGTCACATGATAACGAAATATGCACTGTTTGAGCAAAAAAAACAGCACAAGTTAGTTGGCTTAATTGCTGTTGAGAATCAGTATAAATTACGGTTTTAATCAGTAGGTAACGTGCTCGCTGGGAATGCCACTCATTCGCCATTTTATTACCAGATGTCAAGCTTTCCATTACGGCATTAATGGAGCCGCGTTTTCTGTTGGCGTAGTTAAGGCCTTTCTCATTTATGAGCCTCGTGCTGATGAGCCTTCAATAGCTGTTTGCTCTCTCTGTTTTTCGTGAGGGTGCATCTTCAAGCCTGCAACTTCAACGCGAATTCACTCGCCATGGAAGAAGTGGAACTTGCCTCCCATTTGCAATCAGAACAAAACCAACAGTCCAAAGCAAGTAAACCAGAGGGTGTTTCCTTCTTTGGCTTGTTCGCTGCTGCTGATACAATTGACTGTGTCTTGATGTTCTTGGGAAGTCTTGGTGCGTTCGTTCATGGCTCCGCTCTTCCTGTATTCTTCATCTTGTTCGGTCGTATGATTGATTCTTTAGGACATCTTTCTAAGCATCCTCATAAGTTGTCGTCACGCATTTCTGAGGTATGATTATATTATGCAGTTATTAAGTCACGACCTTCTTTTAATTCTCTCTCATTGGTCACCAGTCAAGTACTGCTTTGCTCCATTAATACTATTGATCTAGTGCCCGTTTGGATATGTGTATGATCAATTTTTTGAGTAAAATTGATTTTTTTGAGCTATTACCCAAACACCTGAAACAGCCCATAATAATAAAAAAAAGAAATTGATTATTTTGGAAAGTTAGTGAGCTTCTGTCAAAACATTATCAAAGAACATTGGAAAAATTACAAAGAAAAGCTCAAAAAAAAAAATAAAAAACGTACAAAATTTAATAAAAATAAAATCAAACTCACTTCTCTTCTCTCTCTTTTTTTTAATAAAATTTAAATTTTAAATTTTTAAAAAAATTGTTAGCATAAGTTTTTGTCAACTACCATCCTCCACTTAACACTTATTATAAAATTAATTCAAATAAAATATTAATCAATAGAAAAAAATTAATTTCATTTAATTTAAAATTTAAAATCATTATAAAAATTGTTGTAAAGGTATAGAAAGAAAGCAAGATTTTGCGTCATTTGTTATATCACTACATTTTTTATGTTGTTAACATTTTCAGTAGAGATCACTTTATATATTGTCATCTTAATTAGTTATTATAAAATTGATGTTTGGTATTTAAGAATTAAATATTTCTCTTTTATTAAATTTATTTTAACTAAGATATATTGAGTTACTTATTTACATAAATTTAAATATTAATATTAATATAATTTAAATTTTTAATTAATTAGATGTGTAATTTAAATAATATATTTTTCTTCTTAAATAAAATGTAACAACTTTAATAATATTATATATAAATTTATCAATAATTTAATTTTAAAAGGTAATGTTCTTTATGGTAATTTATGTAGTTAAAATTAATTTTAAATAAATTATTCAAATACTTTCAATTTTATTAAAATCAATTTTAGAAAAACTATATCTAAACAGATTGCATTATAACATAATCAATTATAATCAAAATCTATCATTTAATTAATTATTTTCATAATTTATTATACTCAACTGAAATACAAATGAGCACCTAACTACCATCTTTGTTTTGTCATATATTACTGACAATTAGCTGCAGTACTGGTTCAATGGTGTGAATTAGTCCTCCTGTTTGATTGCCCGTGACATACCAACCTTGTACTTGGTTCTGCATGGATATACATTTACACAATCCTTTTAATTCTCTGCCTCACTTTTTCACTTTGGCACATGGAATATTCTAAACTAGGACCCCAGTTCTTGCTTCCAAGTTATAAGTTCCTCAGAAAAAAAAAATGTTTATATACTAAACAGTATCACAATCAAATCATTATTCTGTATCCATATGACTTCCTGTTGAAAATAATTTCAACGATTGCAGAATGCTTTGTACTTGGTCTATCTTGGAATGGTTGTTCTGGCATCAGCTTGGATGGGTAGATCCTATCACTCGGACTAGTCTTCTTGGTTTGTTCCTTAGTCTTGTTGACTAACAGCCTCTGGATCACTTTTATGCTTCAGGGGTTGCATTTTGGATGCAAACAGGGGAGAGGCAAACAGCTCGTTTGCGTTTTAAGTATCTACAATCAGTTCTAAAAAAGGATATCAATTTCTTTGACAATGAAGCAAGAGATGCTAATATCATTTTCCACATTTCAAGTGATGCAATATTGGTACAAGATGCAATCGGTGACAAGGTAACACATGCATCTGTCACCCCTTTTTCATGCACACGGACCCAAATTTTGCCAAATTCAATAATTAATATAATTAATCATTGATTTCACCGCAGACAGGTCATGCTATACGTTACCTTTCACAATTCGTTGTTGGATTTGCCATTGGATTTGCGTCAGTGTGGCAGCTTACACTGCTCACTTTGGCTGTAGTTCCATTAATAGCAGTAGCCGGGGGAGCTTATACTATAACCATGTCAACTTTGTCAGAAAAAGGTGAAGCAGCTTATGCTGAAGCAGGAAAAGTGGCAGAAGAGGTGAGTGATTCGCTTCAATCAAATGCTTGTGAAGTTTAGTTTGGCTAATCTACCATGTCTCCATAAATCTTGGTCTGTGAAAATTCTACTGTTAGAAGTCATTTCTTGATCAAGCCTTGAATAATGAATGCACTACTTCTTGTTTTGATATGGAATAGGTAATTTCTCAAGTTCGTACAGTGTACTCTTTCGTGGGAGAAGATAAAGCAGTCGCCTCATACTCGAAATCACTTGACAATGGTCTGAAGCTGGGGAAGAAGAGTGGCCTTGCAAAAGGAGTTGGGGTAGGCTTAACATACGGACTGTTGTTTTGTGCTTGGGCATTGCTTCTTTGGTATGCAGGCATACTCGTGAGACACCATAAAACAAATGGAGGGAAAGCATTCACAACTATCATTAATGTCATCTTTAGTGGATTGTGAGTCATTTCTTCTAACCTGATGTGATAATTTTAGATGGAGCTTTTCTGAACTGAACTTGACACTTCTTCCTCTGTTAGTGCTCTCGGCCAGGCTGCTCCTAACCTTGCAGCCATTGCTAAAGGGCGAGCAGCAGCAGCCAACATCATGAATATGATTGCATCAGTTTCAAACACATCTACAAGTTTGGACAAGGGGATTGTTTTGCCACATGTGGCAGGGAAAATGGAATTTCGTGAGGTCTGCTTTTCTTACCCATCAAGATCAAACTTGGTCTTTGAAAATTTGACCTTCACAGTAACTTCTGGGAAGACTATCGCAGTTGTTGGTCCTAGTGGTTCAGGAAAGAGCACTATCATTTGTATGATTCAAAGATTTTATGATCCCACCTCAGGTAATAAAACTTGATTTAGTATTTTATATTTACATTGCCAATTTTGTCTATCACTTTATATTTAGGATTAGCATGCGAGGCTAATGCATGTTTTTTCTTAGGTAGGATACTATTGGATGGGCACGATCTTAAGAGTCTTCAGTTGAAATGGTTGAGGGAACAAATGGGTTTGGTTAGTCAAGAACCAGCGCTATTTGCCACAACAATATCTGAAAATATTTTACTTGGAAACGAGTATGCAAACATGGATCAAATCATACAAGCAGCGAAAGCTGCAAATGCCCATTCTTTCATTGAAGGCTTACCTGATGGTTATTTGACTCCGGTAACTTCACCATCACAGTGGGAAAATCTTTTCACTTGTAGTTGTTGAAATGTAAAATCATATTTAATAGCGCTGGTATATCTTGCTTCTAGAACATTGATGGTGAGTTTTTTTTTTTTTTAATTCAGGTTGGAGAGGGGGGCACGCAACTTTCAGGGGGGCAGAAACAGAGAATTGCAATAGCAAGAGCGATGCTCAGAAACCCAAAGGTGTTACTTCTGGATGAGGCCACTAGTGCTCTTGATGCAGAATCAGAATTGATAGTTCAACAGGCTCTGGAAAAATTAATGTCAAATCGAACTACAATTATTGTTGCCCACAGATTATCCACCATTCGTGACGTTGATACAATCTTGGTGTTGAAGAACGGTCAGGTTGTAGAAAGCGGGACTCATTCACAATTGATGTCAAAAAAAGGAGACTACATGCATTTAGTGAACTTGCAAGCCTCAGACAACCCCATGACAAGTTCAAGTGCAATATCTCGATCTGGAAGTTCAAGACATTCAAGTTTTCGAGAAGTTTCAGACAACCAAAAATATCCAGATGAGTTGAAGTCCATTTCAACAAGAGAGCCTCAACCTGGTGACCAAAAGTCCATTCCATCAATCTTGGACCTGCTAAAACTAAATGCTCCTGAATGGCCTTATGCAATACTTGGATCAGTGGGTGCAATTATGGCAGGCATGGAAGCTCCTCTCTTTGCTCTTGGTATTACTCATATTTTGACTGCGTTCTACTCCCCACATGGTTCTAAAATCAAGCAAGAGGTTGATCGGGTGGCTCTGATATTCGTTGGAGTTGCTGCTGTGACTATACCTATTTACCTGTTACAACATTACTTTTTTACATTGATGGGAGAGCGTCTCACAGCCCGTGTACGGTTATTAATGTTTTCAGGTACTTGAGAAATTGAAATTGTTACTTTTTTGGCATGTCGTTGATTCACTTTCACGATATCAACACATATAAATTGCAGCTATCCTAACCAATGAAATAGCATGGTTCGACTTGGACGAGAACAACACGGGATCATTAACAGCTATGCTAGCCGCAGATGCAACATTAGTAAGAAGTGCTTTGGCTGACAGACTCTCTACCATTGTACAAAATGTAGCTCTCACTGTGACAGCATTTGTTATTGCCTTCACATTGAGTTGGAGACTAACAGCTGTGGTTGTATCTTGCCTGCCTCTTCTTATTGGGGCGTCTATCACTGAAGTTAGCACTATATCTTATTATGAACCATGCATTAACTTGCGTTTTATATTATACATGTACTGATTTTTTTTTTCTTTTGAATTTGCAGCAACTATTTCTCAAGGGGTTCGGGGGAGATTACAGTGCTTCCTACTCTAGAGCAACTTCTTTGGCACGTGAAGCTATCTCCAATATACGAACTGTTGCTGCTTTTGGTGCAGAAGATCGAATCTCATTCCAATTTTCCTCTGAATTGAACAAACCTAACAGGCAAGCACTTTTGCGAGGCCACATCTCAGGCTTTGGTTATGGTGTGACGCAATTGTTTGCTTTTTGCTCTTATGCACTTGGCCTCTGGTATGCATCCATCTTGATCAAGCATAAAGAGTCTAACTTTGGAGACATTATGAAGTCTTTTATGGTTTTGATCATCACGGCTCTGGCAATAGCAGAAACACTAGCTCTTACCCCGGACATTGTCAAAGGATCACAAGTTCTGGGGTCAGTTTTTGGAATTCTCCGAAGGAGAACATCCATCCCTCCCAATGAACCTAACTCAAAGGTGATGACTGATATGAAAGGAGAGATAGAGCTTAAAAATGTACACTTTAGCTATCCAATGAGACCTAACATCACCATTTTTGAAAACTTAAACCTAAAAATCAGAGCAGGAAAGAGTCTTGCGGTAGTTGGGCAGAGTGGCTCTGGGAAGAGTACTGTGATCTCTCTGGTCATGAGATTTTACGACCCAACTTATGGAAAGGTCTTAATTGATGGATGTGATATCAAAAGCCTCAACTTGAGATCCATAAGGCTGAGAATAGGTCTAGTTCAACAAGAACCTGCTTTATTCTCCTCCACGGTATATGAAAACATCAAGTATGGAAAAGAAGAGGCCTCAGAAGTTGAAATAATGAAGGCCGCGAAAGCAGCAAATGCTCATGAGTTCATCGTCAGAATGCCAAAAGGGTATCAAACAGAGGTAGGTGAGAGAGGAGTGCAATTATCAGGAGGCCAGAAACAGAGGGTGGCAATTGCTCGAGCTATTCTAAAAGACCCATCTATTCTCTTATTAGATGAAGCAACAAGTGCATTAGACACAGTTTCAGAGAGATTCGTCCAAGAGGCTCTAGAGAAGCTTATGGAAGGACGAACAACCATCTTGGTAGCACACAGGTTATCAACAGTCCGAAATGCACACAACATTGCTGTGTTACAAAATGGCAAAGTGGCTGAAATGGGCAGCCATGAGAGTCTGATTGCTCAACCTGAAAGCATTTATAAGCAGTTGGTCCGTCTTCAACAAGATAATAGTGACCAAGTACTGAATTGATCACGCAAATATATTTAGTTAATAATTAATAAGTTGATGTAAATTCCCATCTTATTGCAATAAGAAATTCGTAAGGATAAATGTCAGTATAATATCTTTGCTTCTCATTCCTGTCACAGAAAGTTGCTTTTACAGAAAACGTATGCGGAGAACATTTTGAACGAGTACTTGTCGTTTGTTTTACTATGCTATCTGAATTTTGTAACATTTATCTCTTGTTATTTTTCTCTCAATTCTAGTGGCTCACTGTTTCAGGTCTCAATATAATATTCGCCAATTCATTTTCTCAAATTTAGAATAGATACAGGTCAACACTTCAACTTCATCTTGGGTTTGATGTTAAGGATCCAATTGTATCCTTAAATTTTAATTATTTTGTGTGGTTTCGTTAACAGATAACTGATTTTTTGTTTAAAACATTTATCTCGTTTATATGAAGTGTTGAACCCAAATTTTATGAATATATATATATATATATATCTATCTATCTATCTATCAAGTAGCATGAAAGACATATTCTCCTGCAGTAATGGTTCCGAGACCTCCATGGTTTCAACGAAAAGAAGAAAAGTACTGAAGCAATGAAAAGGGAAAAAAATAAAAAAGAAAAAGAAAAATTTTACGAAAAAAAAAAAAGCCACGGATCATACGTACATATATATACTGGCTAGATACAGATTCTATATTTTATAACAATGAAAAGGGAGTAACATCAATGAATGTAAAATAATAAAAGTATAATATTGGTTGTAAGCGCAGCATACTCATTTTAAGCTTCATGCAAATACAATAAAATAAATATTCTGGCAAAAAAAAATATCAAAAAACTGATATAAACAGCAACTTTTATGGGAGTGTGTGCTTACCAAAGTTGCGATTTTTTTAATTAATAAAATAATGACTTGATGAAGAGTTTTACTTTTACCACCAAAAAAAAAAAAGACTTGAGGAGGCACGGAATTTTTCTCGTTTCAATTTCTTGATTCTTCCTGTAATCCTGTCAAAAGGACAAAAGCATAAATAAGAATGTATAATTCACGAGTAATAAAAAGACAAGGCAAAATTGTCATTTAACACTATTTTGTCACTCATGATTTGAGGGAAATATTGTAATTTTAAAGGTTGAACTCCAATAACCCAGTGAAGATTGTAATTAATGGCGATCCTAATATTGGTGCAAATAATTTAAAAATTCAAGAAGCTAGTCATTGTAATTTGTGGGGGTCTGAGACAGTGAAAGAGAATTCAGGTTTTTTAAATAAAAAAAAAAAGAAAAAAGCAAAACGGGGGAAAAGTGTGACCAGTGAACTGTGAGAGCGAAGAGGATGTGAAATGGACCATATAGCTGGCAAATGGCTGTCTAGGTGAGACTGGGATTTGAAGTTTGCTTGGGTCTCGAGGGTTCTGGTATCTTCCTTACTCCTTTCTTTCGAATTTCAAATTTATTTCTTTCATCCTCTGTCCCTCTTTCTGCCTTCGTGCCTGCCATTCGCGTTACTCAGAATCTCACCTTTCAAGTTTCCATTCCCAGATCTGCTACTCCTAGGGTTTTCTCCACATACATGGAGTCTGTGTGATCTTCTGAATGAGCTCAAAAGGAGCATCGGGCAAAGCGGAAGAATAGCTAAGAGTCAACAAAGAGACATTGTTGGTTGCATTTTGCCTGAAGTAAGAGATCGGCTGCTTCTTTGCTGGAGATGAGTGCGTCCAGGTTCATCAAGTGCGTTACTGTTGGCGACGGTGCTGTCGGCAAGACCTGCTTGTTGATTTCGTACACCAGCAATACGTTTCCCACGGTTATATTCTACTTCTCAACTTCCGGGACTTTTCCGTCGTCATTGTTTGAATAGCAGTGGTCTAATCCATGTACATGATAATCGATTGCTCCTTGCACATGTATTTTAGTTTCTTGTTGGAAGCGTGTGCTTTTCATCAACATGGCAGATGAAATGTATTTTTATCATGCATGTTTCTTATGTTTCCCTGTCATAATTTCTCAAAGCTATAGAGGTGTGGCCATGAAATTCTCGCTGTCGTACTTATCAGTTTGAGGAATGCCAAGTAGTCGTTGACTTAGATTGAAATTCACCAAAGAAGGGCCATAATTATTGTGGTAATTTTATCTGTACGACCAAATGCGTCAATATCATTTTGCTTTATCCAGTGATTTTCTCATGACAGGTCACTTTTCTCTTTTAAATTCTAACCCTCATGAAATCTTTACTCTTCTGGCTAAAATGCTATATATGATTTGATTAGGAGCATGTATTTGCGTTATCTGTTTGTAGATTCTGTTCTGTAGAAAGATAAGAAGAGAGCTATGACTTCCTCCATAGAGACTGTATTGTAGATAAACTTTAGACAACACAAACAAATAGAAGACATTAGACTTTTGGAAACCTATTATATAGCTCGTGCGGCTTCCCTATTATACAAGGATGGCCTTCTACTACCAGACTAAGAAGAAAACAAAGTCAACCTTAGTTGAAAGGCTTTGTGGTGTTGCTAAGGCTATGTTTGTGGGCAACTCAGACCCCCTAAATCCATTTTCATTGCCCCATGAAGTGTTCACTCAGACACATATTAAGCTTTGAAATGTTTTGTGTATCTTAGATTATAATTAATGCAGAGTTCTTCCATTTTTTTAATGATATAAATGCTTCTGAAATGTAGAAGATGAGAGCTGATGTTTGTGCTTAGTATTTCAAGCTTTATTCTTCTATCCTTTTCATCTGTTCTAATTTTGTTTTGAACACATTATAGCTCTATATTGTTAACCGTAACATTTTTTGTTCATGAATATCAGGACTATGTGCCAACTGTTTTTGACAATTTCAGCGCTAATGTTGTTGTTGATGGAAGCACAGTAAATCTTGGGTTATGGGATACTGCCGGTAACACTGCAACTATTACTTTCACTGTATAGAATTATATTTCTTTTTCAGTTTCTTGTTTGTTTCTGGTCATTTAACTTGAAGTTTGACAGGTCAGGAGGATTATAATAGATTAAGACCCCTGAGCTATCGAGGAGCAGATGTCTTTATACTTGCCTTTTCCCTTATAAGCAAGGCTAGTTATGAAAATATTGCAAAGAAGGTTATTTCCTTGAATTGAAAAAAAATAAAAATACTTAGACATCATGTATATGAATTTCTGCTTTTCAAATTTTAAATTAACTGAATGATGGTTGACTTATTGCTGTTTTTTTATTTTTCATTTCAGTGGATCCCTGAACTGAGGCATTATGCCCCTGGTGTTCCAATAATTTTAGTTGGAACGAAGTTAGGTAATTATTTTGACTATGAAGCCAAAAGGTTCCTCTTTTGACTCCAATCCTTCAATATATTAGCTTACTGTAATTGATTCTTAACTAACATGCCTGATGCAAGTGCTGTAAAATCTGCTTTTTCAGCTAGCTATTTACTTTAGGCTGCAAAATCAGCAAGTATAGATAATGATGTTAATAGTTACCTTTCTGGCCCAACAGGTTCTCTTGAATCATGACACTAATTAAGTACGCATTTAGTCCTGATTTTGATTTCTAACGAATAAAAAATAAAGAATGTTAAAAAGACTCTTGTTTTCTTTATTTTTATGCTAACTGGAAATATGCAGTGATTGATGTTTTGGACGACCCTAGATTTCCCTGATGGGAACTCGGCTACTTCATTCTATATAGAGCGGTGATTTCCTTTAGTTGAGTAGAATGTAGTTACAGCAGGAATGAAATTCGGAAGGAAAGAGCAAAACTCAGTGCTTGGATGGGTTAGAACATCCTAGAATTCCCAAAATTTTTCTTATCTTCCCCATCTGCCCTCACCTACTTTTGATTCCCATTTTCTTGATGAACTCTATCTAGAACCTGCTAATAGATCATCTCCATTTTCCTGAAGCTCTTTTCTATCTGCAAAAGCAATTTTTGTTGTTTCGGGGATATAAAATCGCTAATGTCAGATGAAATTATTTTGGAAGTTGAGCCCTGCACCCTGACAGGGAAACTGCTTCCAGCCAAATAGTCATTGAGCTGGATATTTGACTTCTAACCAAAATTTGTAGGGTGATGTAAAAGATTGATATTGGTCAATTTGTTCTGCAGATCTTCGGGAGGATAAACAGTTTTTTATGGACCACCCTGGCGCTGTGCCTATAACTACAGCGCAAGTAAGACCTACCGTCTTTGACTTTTACCCTTTCACTGGGCAGGGGCAAGTGAGTTGCTGATTGTTGGTTTATGGACACATTAATGCTTGTTACTCTCTGAAGGGGGGAAGCTGATATACTCTTTAACTTTCTTTACCCTTTTTACGTGGAGATTCGTTGCTAATTACTAGTTTATTTTGAAATTAATGTTTATTTTTTAATGTCTGAAGGGAGAAGAACTGAGAAAGCTGATAGGGGCTCCTGCCTACATCGAGTGTAGTTCAAAAACACAGCAGGTTCGTGGTTTCCTTACTTGCATGACATTTTAGCTATGATGGACCTTTTTATGGGTTCCTTTCTCCTGTGATTACAGAATGTGAAAGCCGTGTTTGACGCGGCCATCAAAGTGGTCCTTCAACCACCAAAGCAAAAGAAAAGGAAGAGGAAGGCTCAGAAATCCTGTTCAATATTGTGATTAATCGGGAGGGCAGGAAGCTTTGTATAGTTCGGACTGATATTCTAGGCTATACGTCCAATCTGTCGATCACCGATTTTAATAGTCTGTAACTAGCATCAACTTCACCTGGTAACATTGCATTTGAGTTTGCTTTATGTCTGCTACATGTAAGGAGCTTCCCTACGAGGAGAATCGATTCATGACGCGAGTGGAGTAATTAATAGCCTGTATTTTCAATTCAAGTCATACCCGATGTTTCGGTCAATTTTAGTTGCTCGTTTGCCAATTGCTCCAATTCTCTATCCTGATTGAAATTCGTACAGGAGAAAAAAAGGTTTTTTAAGAAAAATTGGGGAAGGGTGGGGCAACACGCTCAGCTATTTCTCCCGCGGTAAAACGCATCTTCCCCGGCGCTAATTATAACCAACGATGCTTTACCATCGACAAAACAATAAACAAACAATGCTACGGAAGATAATCCGGTCACACTGCCATAATCACCTTGATTGCAAAGTTATACATCAATTTTTTTTAACATCTAATTCTAGCCCTTCATGGCATATTGACCTACTTGGTTTTCCTTATATCAATATCTGCAAGATTTGGTGGTGACGTTACTAAATATATATACAGACTATCAGCGACTCAACCTCAGTGCTTTTTCTCGATTGAAAATTAATTGCAGCACTTGTAGTTGAAAACTTTCTGCAACGTAGCTCCCTGTAAGGGATTGTCATTTAACAACTCGAAAGAAGCCGCGAAAGAATCAAAAAATCAAAACGGTACGGTGTATGGCAATCCATAGATATCAGCTTCGGGTAAATATTGAGCACGAGGCCAGAGAGATAAACTAGAACACCCCAAGGCATCGTTCAAAGATTTCGCTTTGTCTGTTGCCTGCGTTTGCTCTTGCCGTTCTGATGTTGACAGCCAATCCTGATCCTCTAACTCGAATCCCTCGAGTTGGAGCGCACAAGAGTTCCAATTCTGAAACAACGAATTATAAAGGGATGCCATCCTCCCACGTTTGCTATCAATCGAATTGGTGGTTGGATCCTCCACTCGAGCACGGATTAAATCTTGGTATCCGTTATGCTCTGATCCGGAGTTTCTCAACCCCTGGTATTGATGGCGTGAATCTTCGGTGTTCGAGTTCGCAATTCCTTTACTTCCAATGGACGCTGCGCGATAATCTTGTGGCAATTCTTCATGTTCTCTGTGTTTTTTCAATGGCAATCTGATTTTAATAGCAGTTCCTGTTTCACAAATAGTCCGTTTGACTATGAGAATTGAGAACATAGATATAAAAACCAAAATCATCTTCGAACCCAGGTTACTCACCATGATCATTACGTGATGGCGAGGAGCTTCTTTTCCTCTTGTTACTGCTTTGAGTACTGTCTGACAAGCAGCAAGGCTCAGTTGAGAAAGGCTGATCATGTTCCTCCGTGATACCACTCCTTTCAATTTGCTCATTATCATCATCACCAACCTTTCGCAAACAGCCACTGCCTTGCTCTGATCTGATTTTCTCCAGCTGGTAGGCTTCCATTTTCTTGAGCTCACACTCTTTCCCATTACTATCACAGTGATGCGTCGCGTTTGCTTCCTTTTCTTTTCTTTCTTTCCTCTCTTTTCTTTTTTCCTTTTTCTTTCTCTTGTCTTTCTTCCGTTGTTCCTTGGCTTCATCCCTCTCTTTCTGGAGCTTTACAGCACCAGAACAAAACTTTCAAATAGAGGATAGGGCAGAGCAAAGAAGCAAATATGCTAGACATGCATCTCAATCTTCCATTTGACCCGAATAAACAAAATTCTAAATAAACAACCATTCTCATCTTTGGCCCGTCAAAAGCAACAGTTCCGGCGTTCACAAAACCAACTGTCTCTCACAAATGAGAGAGACCAATCATGCCACAAAGTAGTAAACATACCCAATGAAGTTTAAGTACCAGAATCAAATTCCTCATAGTGCAACAGGCCAACAAATCAACATAAGATTTATTTCACATCATTTTACATTGAAAACTCAAGAAGACACCCACGCGGCGAAACTAATTTTGTAGGAATCAGGCAGAAAATGGGGAAAGGCAGGCCGCCCCATTATTTCAAACTGTTTACAGATAACATTGGGGAAAACCTGGCCAAAAAAAAAAAAAAATTGGGGAGAACGGATTCCTTAATTGTTGCTTTAAATCTGAGACTTCAATTTGAATGTGAAATAAGTTCATAAACAAGATAAAAAGGCTTTCCAAACAGAGAAAATAGTTTTCAAAAACGAAACCCCAAGGTGTTCAGTTTAGAAAACTGGAACGCCGACTAGAACTCTTCGTCATATGTATTAAACTCATTTTTAGTTTTAAACCTACATAAGTTCGTATTTAAATCAAGCTTGTTCTCTGATGTAAGCTTCCCGGATGGACCATGGTCCAATTATGGTTAGTATGACACTAGAACACAGAAAACCTAATTCATCACATACTAGTTATCGGGTCGAGGAAGCAACAGAAGTCCCATGTATACCCACATATTTTAACACATGCAGTTGAGCAAAACCCAAAAACGAAACTGCTCAACAAACCTTAATCGATTTGATCAAATCCTCGCTACATGACCCATTCCTCATATACCCCGGACGCGGGAAAGGGAAGCACCTAGACATCTTCGATTATCAGAAGAATCGTATTGTATACTTGGAATCGCAAAGTCAATCGACAGTGAAAGAAAAGCCGAACAAATTGTGTTTCAGAAAGAGTGTATGGCGCGATCTCAAGAAACCCTAGTTCCTGGGCCTCGTCGGCGTCTCTAAGCTTCGGAAGAAACCCTCAGATCTAAAAATTTCGAAGCAACGAAAATGCAGGAGCCAGGTCTATATTTATAGCCAGATGAACGGACTTCAAATCTGACGCGGTTGTGAGATACCCGTATTACCCTCCCATGCTGCGCTTAATTACTTCAGTGTATTATTTTGGGGCTTTTTTGTGACCTTGTTTTTGGGCCTCTTTGATCACACAGCCCTGAGCCCTAATTGTCACCTGTGTTGGTTTTACACTTTTGCGGGTGTAAAAAAGTAACTAAATCTAATTTTTTTCCACTAAAAATTAACTATATGTCCAAAAGTTATTTAGAAATCAAAAGTAACTTTTATAAACAATCGAGTGAACTTTTAATAAATAAATTGATGCAGGTGAAAGTAGAAGAAATTACTAAGATGGTTTTTGAATTTTAGAAGTTACCAGCACTTATAACCAAGCATGTCCTAAAATGCTAATGCCATTGGTCGTACATGATCATAAAATAACATTATTTTAAATATAACTATTTAAATTCATGTTTAAATACTTTAAATATGTAATTATATATATATATAATTCTAATTTAAATCACTGTAAGAGAATTATGCAAGCAAGCAAAAGAGACAAGGATGAGATGCAAGATAAGATAATATAACTATATCATCAGGATTATTTTAGATGTTTAAACTTTTTATACTAGATATTTAAAATTATTTTATTAAGATTATTTTAATAATAATATTTAAAATATCCATAGGGTTAATTGAGATTTAATTAGGTATTTTTATTATTATATTTTATAAGATTATCTGTCATTAAAAATTTCACCAAAATGTATTTATTTTCATTAATATATATATAGATATATCATGAAATTAATAAAATAATCTATCTATTAAAAAAATATAAGACATTTTTTAAAAAATTAAATGTTTAAAATACAAAACATTTTTAATATTTTAAAGTATGATCATTGTGTTTTTTTTAAAGTGTTCATAATAAATAAATTATTTTATATTTACTTTAAAGTAAAATACTCTATTAAATATAGATAAATATAAAAATCTTGAGTTATTTTGAAGACAATTAATTATTTTATTAAGGTGAGATTCGATTAAAAATGTTTTATATTTTTTAGTGACGTATGTAAATTATATGATTATGATTATTTTAGGGTTTAAATTATTATTATTTTAATATTGTTAATCCTTGTCAAATTTGATTGATAGATTGAATGAAGATTTGCACATTTTTGGATCTCTTATTTATTTTCTATCCTTCTCCCTCTTTTATGTTAAAAGAATTAGTTAATCTCACACTCGATACAATTAATTATTTTTAAATCTATTAATGAGTAATTTAAAAGTAATTAATTTTATTGAGTGAGATTTTATATGTAACTTCTTCTTCTTCTTCTTATCTTTTTCTCCTCCCTTCACATCAATTTGAATGATTAAATTTTTGTATGACCATTCAATATCTAAAACCGATAGCCCTGTCTAATCAAATTTTGAGCACTATATGCCTCAAAAGAGATGGCTCTCATAAACATATTTTTTTCATTCTCATCCTCCTAAAGAATCGAACTCAAAAGGTGAGGATTAAAGGAATTTAGACCTTTTTTATCTTCTAAGGGAACATGCTTGGATCATTAATTAATGCCAGGGCTGCTATATTTAAAAAAAAAAAAAATTAAGCCCGAGAACCCTATTTGACCTCAACAAAAAACCCATATACCAGGTTATATCCAGAAAACCCTGCTTAAAAAGTAATAGTAGTAATAATAACAAGTTTACCAAACAACGCGGTAGCGAGGCCAATCTTGCGCAATATTCTCATTTCGGAATCGCGGGCTTGATCAGTGTCTGTACCGGTGCTCCAGAGCTCCGAACAAAGCCGAACTCCCTTTCCCCGTCCGTCGTCGAAGAACTTTGAAATCATCATCATGCAACACGGAGACTATAGCTCATCTCCTTATTATCAATTCCCTCAGACGCAGAACCCAATTCCCAATCCTAATCCCAACCCTAACCCTATCCCTCCCGATTCAGTGCCGAACCAGTACGCCTCCGCGCCCCCTTTCATCTCTGATTACTCGCCTTACGCCTCTACTTATCCTCCATACCCTCAAAATCCCGATCCCATGTCAGTTCCTCCCACTGCTCCTTCGTACCCTCCAACCTCCAACCCTAATTTGAACTCTTTAAGTTCTCCTCCTCAGCCCTCCTCTTTTCCTCCGTTTGAGTCCCATGTCCCGTATCAACCACCTCCACAACAACAATGTCAATATCCCCCGTATGATCAACATCAAACGACTCCAGGTTATGCCCCTTCCTCATCTGCAATCCCTCCCAACACCGCCCCGAATTCTTTAACCTCGTCTTTCTATCCGGCTTCGTACACTCATCCTGGATCATCGATTCCCCCGACATACGAAAGTCTGTATGAGAATTCCGTGAAATTTGATTATGGCGGTGCTTATGTCGATGACAAATATGGAAGTTTTAATCGGAGCCGGTCTGATTTGGGGTCTGATTTGTATGGAAAGCGACCGGATACGAGGCATGATACTGTTCGTGAGGATATTTATGGAGATGGTGTGTATGCCTATAGAGGGGTGGAAACGGAACCATATGGAGCGCGGGGTACGGCTTCTAAGTCTTCAACATGGTCCGGTTTTGATGATTATGGAAGGTCAATTAGTTTTCCCTCTGCGAAGGAACCCTCTTTTTCAAACAAGGTTGTGAAAGCTGTGCCGAAGGCTGATCCCCAAGAGGATGTTAAAAGCGGAGTGCAAAAATTTCGGGTCAAGCTATTGGCAGAAAGTGGTGGTCAGAGCACTATGGATGTGCTCTGTCAGGTACGAAGCTAAGAGCTTTTAGTTCCGTCGGAGTTCAGTCTTGATACTCCAAATTACTGATTTGGTCTATTTTATCCTTTTAGATTGCTTTGGATGGAATTCGTATGCTGGATCCAAGTACCAGCCGGACATTGAGAATTTATCCTCTCGAGAACATCGCGAGATGTGAAGTGAGCATATTGTTCTGCATGAAAATTTGACTAAATGTTCTTTGTTTACTCAATTTAACTTTCTTTTAATCTTATAATGCAGAAATTCGATTCGACCACCCTTGCATTTTGGTCCAAGAGTCCAGTTGACATTGAGCCAAGACGAATCAGACTGCAATCCAATAGCTACACCACCAACACTCTGTTGGATACAGTTACGGCTGCAACCATACAGGTAGAGTTCAGAATGCCTCCATTTTTAATACATCAAGAAACTCATTTAGAAATACTCTGGCTTTGTTTTACTTCAGAGGGTTTGAACCAGTGGTTGAGGGATAGATTTTTAATTTTTTTTTTCTTGGGTGAGAACATGTCATAATGTTTATTACTTTTTAAAAAAGTAGCCATAACTATTATAATTTGATATAATTATTCTAAAACAAACTTTTAAATTCAATATTGGAGAGTCTCAGAAGCAAGGCAAATGTAAATGCCCTGGATTCCTTTTCTTCTGCCCCAACATCGAAAACTGACAAGTACCGTTTTTCTCTTAGTGTGCTTAGTCATTGCTGAATATTTGTTATACGTGGATGCTTTTTGTTGAATTTTCTGTTCTTATCTGCATCGACTCTGCTAATTTTTTTTTTCTCTTTCTCTCAGGATCTATTCTTTGTTAAATGTCCAAGTCATTGATGCAAATGCCATTGCGTTCTTTTTATCTCTTCTACCTATTATTTTCCTGTCCTGTATTCATCCTCTGTGGCCCATATGTATTTGTAAATTTTTCGGAAATTTTATTTTGGTAGCTTTGTCTTTTTACATTTAAAGTTCTGTACTTGGACCGTTGAATTAAATAGTCACGTGCAAGGTTTAATATCATTTGTTTGAATATATTCTATAATGTGTCTTTTGGAATGATATTTAAACTTTCACTTCTATTATATTATTCTTGGCCAGCTTCTTATCTTTTCATTACCAGGTCTTAGTTAAACGACTTCTGTTTCACGTTCAGTGGGGCATTTTTTGATTTGTTTCTTATGTGGTTGTCCTAAATTGTTTTGTAGTGGCAGGCATTGTTTGATGATTGATATAGATAATAACTTCCTGTAGTTTAATGTAGTTCAAGGAAATGGGTGGAAGTAGGAGGCCTGCTGAATCATTGAAAACTAATGAACAACCTATAGAAAAGAAGAAAGGCATTGTTGATTGGATGAATCTGGTTAAACCTGCGAATGAGGAGAAAGATCATTGGGTAAGAACAGATGCATTTTAAATTTCATTAAGCTTGTTATTATAAAACCATTATGAATCTTTTCTTTTCCTGGTGGCTCATATTACTTGATCCAAAAGAAAATGAGTTGGTCAACCATATGGACGTTAGATCAAAGTTATTTGTTTTGTCTTGGGTGGAAATTACTTATCATGCATTTTCTTTATTTAGGTCCCGGATGAAGCAGTTTCAAAATGCACAGCATGTGGGACTGATTTTGGGGCTTTTGTTCGTAAGGTTGATCCTTCCTCTCCTTTCTGAAGTGAAGTTTTGTTTCTTGTGCTTAATTGCTAATGTTGTAACTGTTCACGCTTATAACAGCATCACTGTAGGAACTGTGGTGATATTTTCTGTGACAAATGCACACATGGCAGAATTCCTCTAACTGCTGATGAGAATGCTCAGCCAGTACGAGTTTGTGACCGATGCATGGTATGTGTAACTTTGTTGATGTTTCCCTGTTCATTAGTTAGATTATGGAATTGGACGTATTATGTTTGAATATGCATAAGATTTTGTTGGACCAGTATTAGCTTATCTTTTCTTCTTTACTCAGTTAATCTATGTAAACCCTGCACCGGTTGTATGTCATGCAATAAAAACCTTCCCTTTGTTAATAATAAATGTAACAACAGCCACTGATTATTAAGACTTTCCAGAGCATTCTTCCTTTCTTTCACATCTCTATAATTGTTGGGGTTCTAAAATGTTATGCAATCTGAATATGCATGCCTGTAGTGGAAATTTTTGGTAGCTAATCTTTTTAGCTGCTTGGTTTGCCTCTCTTGTAAAGTAAAATAATGTGAGGAAATATAGATGCTAGATAAAAGCTTAGGTTTATTCTGATGGAAGGAAATACATATATAGAGGAGACGCAAACCCTAGAACAGATAGGATCTGACTGAGATACTAAAAACAGAAAGAATCAGCAAAATAAACCCGTAAAAATCAGGGACAGATGTGATACATTAAAACACAGTAAGTGATAAATATTAAATGGCAATTAGGGCATAGGGCCCACTGGGCTTTGTTTGGCGCCAACACTTCCCCTCAAGCTGGTGAATAGATATCAATCATTCCCAACTTCTAGAGTCTTCAAATAATGCTCTAACCAATGGCTTGGTGAATACATTCGCAACTTGTGGTTGTGCTGGTATATGAGCTAAATCAATAATTCCAATGTCTATCTTCTCTTTAATGAAGTGCTTGTCTATTTCAACATGCTTCGTTCTTTCATGATGTATAGGGTTTTCAACCATAGCTATAGTAGACTTGCTATCACACCTAATCTTAATAGGTGAATCTGTTGTAAGTTTTAGTTCTTTTAACGTTCTTTGTAGCCACATTCCTTCGCACACTGCATGAGCCAAGGCCCTTAGTTTTGAGTCTGCATTACTTCTGGAAACAACAGATTGCTTTTTGCTCCTCCATGTCGCCAGATTTCCCCACACAAAAGTGCAATACCTAGAAGTGGACCTCCTATCAGGACGTGAGCCTCCATGGTGAGCATTTGTATAAATTTTGATTCCTCTAGAATCACGTTTAGCAAAGAAAATTCCTCTACCGGGAGTCATCTTAAGGTACTTGAAAATTCTGTAAACAGCCTGCATATGCTTCTCTCTTGGATCGTTGGTAAACCTACTTACCATCCCAACAGCAAAGCTAATATTGGGTCGAGTGTGGGATACGTTGATAAGTTTAGTCTTTTGTATCTTTTAGTATCAACAGGAAGTACATCTTCCTTATTATCTGAGGTTGATTCTTCTTCATCCTCCTCTTCTTTAATATATAATCTACATGAAGATTCTATAAGTGTTTTTGCTGGTCTTGCACCTAGCATCCCTGTTTCTTTTAACAGATCAAGAGTATACTTCCTTTGTGACACCACAATCCCTTGGTTAGATCTAGCTACCTCCATTCCAAGAAAGTATCTTAGACGTCCCAAGTCTTTTACTTCAAATTCTTTTTCCAATGACTTCTTCAATCTCTGTATTTCAACTAAATCATCACCAGTTAGTACTGTATCATCAACATAAATGATAAGCATTGCCATTGTTCCTTTTGAGTGTCTCACAAACATTGTATGATCCGTTTGACACTGAGCATATCCCAAGTTTTTAACAGCTTTGGTGAATCTTTCAAGCCAAGCTCTAGGTGATTGCTTGAGTCCATATAAAGATTTATATAGTTTGCACACCATACCTGGCTTTCTTTGTTCTGATAATCCCTCAGGAATCTCCATGTACACCTCCTCTGTCAAGTCTCCATTGAGAAAAGCATTTTTAACATCCAGTTGATATAAAGGCCAATCACAGTTGGCGGCCAAGGATAATAACACCCAAATGGTATTCAACTTTGCAACAGGAGCAAATGTTTCTTAGTAATCAATACCATATGTTTCTTGGTAATCAATACCATAAGTCTATGAGTACCCTCTTGCAACAAGTTGGGCTTTGTATTTATTGAGAGTTCCATCCGAATTATACTTTTGTAAAAAACCATCTATACCCCACACTTTTCTTTCCTAGAGGCAGCTTAGTAATTTCCCAAGTATGGTTTTTTTATCAATGCAGTTAATTCATCATGAATGGCTTCCCTCCAATTTTGATTAGAAATTGCTTCTTGATAATTAGAGGGTAATCTTTCTTCTGATAACTTTGCCACAAAACTTTCCATACAAGGTGAGAGTTTGTCATAGGAGACAAAATTACTAATAGGGTGCATAGTACATTTCTTACCCCTTTCCTCAAAGCAATAGGCCACCCACGATCATCAGAAGCTGAAGTTGGAGTTGAATCCTGGACCTGCTGAGAGCTAGGGGGGTGATTAGGATCATCAATGGTCTCTGGAAGAACAGCAGCCTCAGCCTCTTCAGATTCTGTGCTGTCAGTCACAACATGATCAAATGTATTAGATTCAGTGTTGTTTGGCTCGGGATCAGATCTATCAAGGTCCACAATTGGTTCTTGGATGGTTTGAGAGGAGTCTTGGGTGGTTCGAGAAGGTTGTGGTTCAAGGATAGGATCATTGGCAGGAAGAGTTGGTGACAAAGTCAAAGGTTTGTTAGAGAAACTTGGTTGTGCAGGCTCCCATTCATAGTCACTCTCCCCCTGAATGGGAGGATGAGGGTAATATGGCTGAGTTTCAACAAAAGTGATAGTCATGGTGACAAAATTTTTTAAGAGGTGGAAAATAACATTGATAACCCTTTTGGGTAGATGAGTATCCTAAGAAGATACATTTCAAGGCTTTGGGATCAAATTTCCTACCATTATCATTATGTACATGAGCAAGACAGCCAAAAACACGTTCTTGGAGATAGTGATTTAGTTGTGTGGTTGGAAAGGTTTTTGTAAGATCCTGAAGAGGTGTATAGAAGTCAAGGGTCCTTGAAGGTAATCTATTGATAGATGAGCAGAAGTAAGAATAGCGTCTCCCCAATAATGTTTTGGAACACTATGGGTAAACATAGGAGCCCTAGCAACTTCTAAGAGGTGTCAGTTCTTTCTTTTAGCAGTGTCATTTTGTTGTGGTGTATGGATGCAACTAATTTGATGAATGATGCCATTTTGGTGCAGGTATGTTTGCATGGCTGAGCATGTATACTTTCTTCCATTATCACTACAGAGAACTTTAATGGTAGTTTGAAAGTGAGTTTTGATCATGGCATGAAAGTTGATGAAAATGTGGAAAAGGTCAAATTTTTCTCTCATAAGGAAAGCCCATGAGAGTCGAGTGTGATCGTCTATAAAAATGACAAACCACTTGGCATTAATTAAAGAGGGCATGTGAGAATGTCCCTAAATGTCACTGTGCAGAAGAGAAAAAGGTTCATATGGTACATGTGGATGGGATTTGTAGGTGCTTTTGGTGTGCTTCAAAAGTTGGCAAATATCATAATGCAAAGGAAATATATTTTTATCCATAGAATTGGGAAACAATTTGGGCATGTAATGAAAATTTGGGTGGCCTAACCTATAGTGGCACAGCACACTTCATTATTTGCAGATTGATCTTGTGACTTTGATTCAGCAGCAAGAATAGTTGAGAAGCCACGTTCAACTTGCTGTATAGCCAAACAATAGAGCCCCTCTATCATCTCAGCAGTGTCAATCATCTTCCCCAACTCCAAGTCCTGGAAAGTACACAATTTAGGGAGAAAGTTAACACCACAAGATTGATGCAAAGTCACGTTGCTCACAGAAAGAAGACTGCACTTCAATTCTGGAGCATAGAAAACATTTTCAAGTTTTAATCCATTGAATAGATAGGCTGTACCAATTCCCTGAGCTCTAAGGGATTTTCCATTTGCAAATTTAATAAACATAATAACTTTACATGGTTGTAAATTCTGAAGCAAACCAGGGTTACCCGTCATATGATCAATGGCCGCTGAATCAACAATCTGCGTTTCTTTGTGATGAACCTCAGAATTTAAGGCAAGAATTGCATTACCTGTGTAGGCAATATTGCTAGTAGGTATATGCTTTTCATGCGAATCATGTTTGTCTAACATCTTCCATAAGAGGTCAACTTCCTCCTTACTTAGCGTGTCATAATCAGATTTGTCCTTTGTAGTGGCGGCAAAGGCTTTATTTTCTGACTTTCCTCTCCCTTTCTGATTAGGTGGCTTACCATGAATTTTCCAGCATACATCCTTGGTATGGCCTGCTTTTTGACAGTGATCACACCATTTGTTGCTTTTATTTCCCTTGCCATCACCATTCTGAGTTCCCTTGGATACAAGGGCATTTGAAGTAAGATCTTCAGCATTAGGTTGCTTATTTGCGATCAGTTTCTTTCTGCTTTCTTCATGTTTTATAGTAAAGAAAACCTCTCTTAGTGATGGTAGAGGTTCAAGGCTCATGATCTGCCCACAAACATCATCAAAGGCGTCATCCAGCCCCAATAAAAATTTATTTATTCTCTGCTCCTCCTTAATCTTGACGTATCGGGCAGCATCTTGAGGACACGACCACTCTATGTGTATTGTAGGTGTCTGATCGCTGCCAATACATAACAAGATTAGTATAATATTGTGTAACAGATGAAGTACCTTTCCTTAAATCATGAAGAGCTCCTTCAATTCCCAAAATTGCAGCTCTGTTTTTAACAGAGGCAAACATATCCTTGGCAGCCTCCCATACTTCACGGGCTGAGCCAAACGAAGCAAAACTAGCATTGATTTCTTGGGTCATTGAATTCACTAGCCATGCTTGAACAAGTGAGTCGTCAGCCTCCCAAGTGGAAAACTTACTATCGGTTAAATCAGGTCTTGGAGTTGCTCTAGTAAGGTTCTTGAACTTTCCTTTGTCCGTCACATGTAGGCACATGCCTGCATCCCATTGAATACAGTTCTGACCATTTAATCTATATGAATGGTGATTGCAACAGCATCATTTGGTGCTTGGTGGCTTGTGAGGTAGATGGGAATTTTTGTTCCTAGTTGATTCATCGCTATCACCATGGCCTTCGTTGTGCAGCCCAAATCCGAATTGGATCATAGCTGCTCTGATACCATGAGGAAATATAGATGCTAGATAAAAGCTTATGTTTATTCTGATGGAAGGAAATACATATATAGAGGAGACACAAACCCTAGAACAGATAGGATCTGGCCAAGATACTAAAAACAGAAAGAATCAGCAAAATAAACTCCTAAAAATGAGGGACAGATGCGATACATTAAAATACAGTAAATGATAAATATTAAATAGAAATTAGGGCACAAAGCCCGCTAGGCTTTGTTCAGCGCCAACAGTCTTTTATTTTCTGTTGGATAATTTCGCTCGTTGATTTTAAAATGTCTATGTTCTACTGAATCCGTGTAGTATTGTATTATTTATATTTTGAAGGCTTGTGTTATGTGTTGTGTGCATTGTAAAGATTGATATCCTTACTAAGTCCTTTTGCTGTATAGGCAGAAGTGACACAGAGGCTCAGTAATGCTAAAGAGGCTGCAAACAAGCCTGTATTGCAAAGTCATGAGGATCTTGCAAGAAAACTCCAGGTAAAAAGTTAGGAAGTAGCTCTTGGCTTGTGTTGTTTTCCTGTGGATGAATTTAATTACTTGGTTAAGCGTACATTCATGTGTAAGCATTCATTAATGATGTTTGTTTTGGCAGGAGGAGCTGGAGAGGAATCGGAGGACATCAGGTATAGTGTAATCTGAGTTAAGTGTTTTAGGAGTCAGGTTTGTGAATTGTAGAGATTCGCTAGCCTGACCAGGTTTCGAAGGGATCATGAGAATTACTTTAGCTGGATCATTTAACTGTCTTAATTCGCAGGTTCCAAGTCTGATGGATCGGGAAGACGGATGAAGGAAGTTGAATGCCCTACTTGCACAGTCCATCTGCAGGTTTGAAAATTTGTTGACTGAGTTCTTTTACTCTTGTTCTCCATCCCCGCAACATTTCAAACTCTCAATGTCCTCATTTTCTCCCTCTGGGCCTCTGTCATATTACTCTTTCAGGTCCAAGTACCTAGCTCAGGTTCAGAGACCATTGAGTGTGGGGTTTGCCAGCACCCATTTCTTGTGAGCGTTTGAGTTCGGATGAATTTGGTACATAAGGTGTCTATACGGGTCAACATTTTTATCGAGTTATTTTACTGATTGATTTCTTGCGCAATAACCATTGGTGGTTGGAATTGTTGTTTGAGCATTAATTTCTTCGGCTTGTTTCGCGGACTACGTTGGGTTGTGTTTTTCTTTCTCTTCTTTTAGCTTGGTATGCACAAATGTTCTCATCTTTACTGCTGAAAATTGCCCTTCCTTGCTTTGTTTTATGGACGCTAGACATTCATGTACAGCCATATTCAAAATCTTAATATAACTTAACTCTTTTGAAACGATATGGATGTTGTGTAGATGTGATTTGGCTTCGTGGTATGGGAAGGTCAAACGGATCTGCTATGGAGAGTAAATTCCTATAATCGTTGCTGTAAAGTGAGTGTGAATATTAAGGCTTGCTCAATTCCTTCTTTGTCAGTGTTTAGAATTTGTTCTTAATCTCTTAATTTGTCGGGTCATCGTGCCCCTTCTATCTTTCTCAGTTCCCCCGCTTCTCATATGTTTTGATTATTAAACAAATCAAATATGCTTTGATTACACAATTGGTAAGATCCAAACTGAGGTTTGGGTGGTCTAAACCTTGGTTTGGGTCTTAAAGTTTATGGGAAAGTCTACATGATGTTTGAATAAAAAAAATGGTGAAAAATTATTTTTGGTCTAGAAGCTCATTGACATGAAAGTTGAGCCGAAAACTCGAGCTTTCAACTTCAGTGATAGGTAAAATTGATTTTGAAAAGAAGAAGAAGAAGAAGAATATCCAAATATAAACTATATTATAATCACTGATTTTTATTTTAATTTCAGTTTACTAGCCTTAATATATTCTAATTTCAGTTTTACAACTTTCCATCCAAAATACACCTGTAATAAATAAATTTAGAATGAGTCTTGATCTTGATATATTTTAGCATCTAACCAATTATTGTTCTGCCCACACTCTTAACATTCTGCCCATGGTTTCATCCCTTCCATATTGTGAAGTAAACTTTACCTTGTAAATAATTTTTATTTTAATTAAAAATTTTAATATCCTATTTAACGGAATGGAATCCTATCTACATACATTACACGCACACGGAGCACACACAATTTTACATACGAATTTTTTCTCCTTTCGATCGCATGAGAGTTTGATTCTTTGATCTCTTGCATCAAGAAGTAAGATGGTAAGAATGTATTTTAATTTAATTAATTAAGGAGAATAGATTGGACGATTTCGCTCTCCTTATGGATGATTCTCAAAAATGGCTTGCTAGTCGCCAGTCCCGACTTAATTGTGGCCCCAGAAAGATCTGTTGACTTGGCGGTCAACTGGTCACGTGGCTTACTGTTTGGTCATAGGCCAGCTCTTAGCTCTGACCCGTTCAATGGATATATTCATGACATTTTGAGAACAGCCAATTCTTGTTCTACCCACGCCCTCCTCTAGGATTTTTAATCCAAAACGGTAATACTGATGACGCTTTTCTTGCACCGTGTAGCGCATTTGAATGGATGATGTCTTACCTTATGAGCATTTTGAATTTTAATTAATTAGCGAGAATTGATTGGTGGAATTTCTTCTCCGGAATCCATATGGATAATGCATGTTGGTCAAAACTGGCTTGCTGAGTCCCATGGTCCCCGGGGAAAACTAGCGAGTAGAATGGAGAAAAATCAAATTAATTTCAAATTAATTTATATTATTAAAATTTAATTTCAAAAATTCAAAAATAAACACACACATACTTATATATTTAGTGGAGAGAAACCAAACCATAGTCTATTGATCTTTTGTTGGCATTCTTTGCGTCCTTTTTGCCTACCCTATGAACATGCTTCCTCCAATCCTCGTTATTACACCATAGTTTTAAAGCCCTATTTGGTTTTAAACATAGGATTAAAGAGTAAAACCTAAAAATGTTCTGAAATTTTTTTTTAGAAGAAACATTTGATATTCTAAACGTTGTTTTGGAGTAATTTTGTCTCAAACCTTTTAAAAATAAAATAATTTTGTCCTGTTGTCAATGTCACAGTTTGTTGATGGTTAGTTTCAACTTTATTGGCCACGTGTCACTCTCTCCATTCTCTCTAACTCAGTTTCTCCATATCCCACTTCTCCTTCTCCTTCTCCTTCTCTCTCCTCTTCCGTCCACTCTCTAACTCACGATCTCTTCCTTCACAAGGCGCCACACCCTGCAACTTGACCGGCATCACCTGCAACCCTCCCTCCGGCGACGTCACTTCTCTCAACCTCCCCAGCGCACAGCTCAAAGGAAGTGAGGACCAGAGAAACGAGAGGCTGTTCCAGATGTGGTTTCACTTCCTCTACAGCATTCCAGATGTGGGTCCATTTGCTCGACAGCGTTCGAGATCCAGTTCGACTTGCTCGACGCTATTCTAGATTTGGTCCATGAGCTCGACACCATTCCAGATATGGTTCATGAATTCAGTGTTCTAGTTAGCGTTCAACTTGATGTGACTTTTTTTTTCTTTTCGTTTTTTTGATTTTCATTGCTGATAATAATTTGTTGTGATTTCTAAGATTGTTGCTGTGATTTTTGAAAGTCTGATAGAAACACTCGGGTGGATTCATATTTGTGTTTGGAAAGTCTGATAGAAACATATAAAATTGTTGCTATGAAAATTTGTTCAAGTTGGATTTTTAAGATTGTTTTTTTTTTTTTCTCTTTCTGGAGATGCAAGCATCTTGTGCATCGATTTTAGGTTTTTTTTTTTCTTCATTCTGGTTCATCTTTCTTGTATTGGATATTTTAAAAATATATTCGTATTTCAAAAGGAATAGTTATTTTTATTAATAATATTAAATACTGTTTAAGGCTATTAAATCTGAAAATTAATTTTTTTAATTGGTTTTTAACATTTGAAAACTGCTAAAATAAATTAGTGTAATGAGCAGTGCTTTGAGGCTCTTCAAAGGTTGTCTGATCTTGTCTATAAATATTAAGAAGTGTTATATGTCCAATGCCAGGCTTTAAAGTTTTTGTGTTGATTCTTTCCTCCACCTCTTGCCTGAGTATTATTTTACTGGTCCCTGTTGTTTTATATCCCTATTTATTTTATAAGAAGAGTCTGTTTAATTTTAAAGAACTGTTATGTGATTAACTTGATATGGTGAAATAATTTTTAAAAACTGTATCTCTTATACAACTCAAACTTAAAATCTATCTATTAGTTCCAACATTTTGTGCATCGATTCTTTCAATTTTAGATTCCAAAACTCCTGCAGAAGAGTAAGGGGCGCCTTTCTGGATTTGTTGTTTTTTAATTTTAAAAAAATGAAAAGAAGTCAAATGAACAGGCACACTAATCACAGGGCAATTACCCCTTTTTTAAACTTTTGGAGTAAGTTTGCTCTAAAAAAAAGTTTAAACCTCATTTAATATGATGGAAGAGTTTTTTATAAAATTAGAGTTAGAATTGAAAATGAAATCAAAATAGAATTGAATTATAAAAATATATATTTAGTGTGAAGATGGAATCCAAATATAATTTTAATAAATAATTTTTTAAAAAATAGGAAAAGATCAAAAGACCCCTTAAAAATCTCTTATCCTCTTTCACCACACCACAGACCCAAAACATAAAATCACTATTAATGACCACTTACTGTCAATCAACCAATTTTACATGCCAAATCCGAACATTTCCAGCCAAGATTAACAGGAAAATGAAGAAGAGAAAAAAACCCAATTGTTGGAGAACCAAGGAGTTGCGACACTAAAGACCCAAATCTCATAGTGGGTTGAGATCATAGAGGGAAAAAAATGAGGAAGGTGGTCAAGATTGCAACGGCGTGAGGGAGAATGGGAGAAGGAGGTGACAATGCTGTCAAAAGTCGAAGTGAGAGCTTCACCATTGTTGAGTGGAGATTTCATTGCATTGTTGCCGGCGATGGGTGCTGGTTGCTGCATGACATTGTGATTGTGATGCCGATGGATGAGAGTTGGGGTTGACAATGGGCAAGGTGAAGATGATGAGGGCAGAAGCGAGATACAAAATAAATTTTTTAGAATCCATCCAATTCCATGGGTGTTTTGATAGAATTGAATTCAAGGTCTTTTTCCTTGAATCAAGATTCTCAGAAATGGTGATTAATGTATACCAAACAACACTAAGTGAGCATTCCTGCTCTAATTTCATTTTTAACTTCAAGATTATTTGATATCAAACATGGCCTTAGGATATTAGGTACTATTGACAAAAAATTTAAACTTTTTTACCTTTTAGCTCATAAATATAAGGCAAATATGTGATAGTTAATTTTTTTTTACAATCTTACCCTTCCTTAATTGTAATAAGTTGTTAGCATGTTTTTAATTTAATTTCTATATAGCACCTTGTTATAGTCATTAATTCTAGTAAAGGACAAAATTAGAAAGTCATACATTTTTATTCAAGTTTAAGAAACTCTCTCTATTTTAGTTTATGAGACAATTTTATATAAAATTATTCATATTAATAAAATTTATTAAATACATTCTATAATTTTTTTAAAAAATAAAATATAAATTTTTATAAATATCTCTCATTTAGAGAAAATATAATAAGGAGGGAATGATGACATTAAAAAAAAGTACATTTAATGATTTTTTTGTTTTCTTAAAAATTGTTTTATAAATTGATTGGAAAAAAGTGTCAACCATCACAACCACTACTTTAGATTTCAGTACACAATAATTTTGAGATTGACGTTTCAACAGATTCGTTGAGCGGACATAGAGATGATTGTTGCAACTTGTACTATTTGCATTTTGCGTCATGAATTCTTGAAATGACCCATTATTTCCTTTTTTTTTAATCAAAAGTCAAAACCATTATTTCTTATCTGGCATGAAGGAATAAGCCATTATTTGTGAAGTCTCGGCTTTGTAATGGGAGGGGTAATGGCCTCCTAAAATTTGTTCATAGGATTTTTTTCTGGGTCATTAACTTCCCACTAAACTATTTCGGCTAGCTAGTTCGACATCTTATCTAATTAATGATATGATCAGGACTATCTTCACCTCCCAGATCATGCCACTACACCGTCTATTTCAAGATCTTTGTCACTTAACCCAATCTAAAATTTTTATTTTTTTTAAAATAATTGTCACTATGAAATTTCAATAAATAATTGGTCACTTGAATGAAACACCATGATATTTTGTTGGAGTTTAAAGATTTAATATGAGAGGGAAGACAAGCTGGTGATGAGATTTAAGATACAATCTATTGTTCTTTTTTTTTTAATAAATACTTTCTCCTGTTTATTTATAAATTATTTTTAACATGTTCAAAATGTAAACAACTTATTATTTGCAAAAAAAAAATCATTTTACTTATTATATTTATTATTCCAAATTCTTGTGTCTGTGATTTCATAATCTTCTTTTCACTTATCATAAATTAAAACTGATGGTAAAAAGTAAAAACAATAGATATTGTTATAAGAATAAGAATTTTATTGATACACAAATTATTATTAAAAGATATTTATATTTGTACCAAAGGGAATATACTTCAACAAATATACTTTCTTTCACTCTTATTTAATGAGGTTGAAAGAAAAAAATTATAATATAAAATCAAGGCATATTTATAAATAAAGTACAAAAAAATCTCTTAATCTCATAAACAGGACCTGGCGAGTATAAGGTTATATGGATATGGAAGAAAGATAATAGAAGTGACGTATAATGAGAACGTGGTCATTAAGACGAGGGGCGAGTGGAAATGATGGGGAGTGGTTAGTGGTTACGCTTAAGAGGTTGTGTGATTGTTGTGTCTCACCCACTTTAGCCTCCTTTTTATTATTATTTTTTCCTTGGCCACGGGCCCTCACAACTTTTTTTTTTTTTTATCTCCTTTGAATAATAGAAGGCCACAGAACAAGACCATGCAGATAGACCACTCACACTCTTATGCCTCTTTCCTTCACTCATTTGGGAGACCTGATGAAATGAAATAAATAAGAAAAAGAAATTAGAATAAAAAACTATCACGTGAGTACAAAGATGCTTTGTAAACAAACATAATAGATAATACATATTATATGACTTCATGTCTATGGATAATTTTTTTTTCCTGTGACCATACAAAGCCCTGTTTAATTAAAGACTCAATTGGTATGTAAAATAAGATAAAATAAAAAGTGTAGTAAAAAGTAATTTCGTATATATAAATTATATTTTATGCCTGTAACTGTAAATAAAAATAAAAAAATATAATTACTAGTAAAAATAATAAAAAAATGTGATTCCTTCCATGTAATATAAATTTTGCAGATGAATAATAAATCTAGTAAAATATGACAATATTTTCAATTTTTTTAAAAATAATTAGAAGGAATACGTGTCATGTGCAAAATCTGAAGGGTAATATATAGGACTTGTAAATAACTTCACTTTGTAAAAATTTTCGATCAACTTTTTTTGAAGATACAGTTTTTAAAATTTAATTTCCCATTGATAAAATTTTGAATCTCTCTCCAAAAGAGTTTCTCGAGTTGGACGATTGTCGATTGTGTTGCCTTATTATAGCGCCTAATGGCCTGATTCGAAACCGTGGGTCTCATGTTGAGGTGAGGTGACTTCTTTGAAAAAAAAAATACTTTATAACTAAAATCAACTAAGAAAAATATAAAACCATTTTACAAGGAAATATAATATTCACTTCAAAGGCTTTTGCTGCATTGTTTCTCACGGGGAGAGAGAAGTTCTAATTAAAAGAATAATTGATTACCTTAAAAGTAATTTGAATTGAAAAAAAATACTCAACATATTTATATACTTATTATTTTTATTAATTGATCCCAAAACATATGCAATGCTGATACTTGAAAAAGAGCTTCCCATATTTTCTAAATTTAAGATGTTAGATCTCCATTCAAGTTTATTTAATTATTTTTGTTCTTGTTGTTTTCAAGATAATCTAATCCCACATGCAGTAATTATTATTATTTTTTTAGGATCAACATATTTATTTACCTCTTTCTCATAAGGAAAGACAACACATACTCACACACCACACCCCTTTACTATATAAGTCATAAAACTCACGGCCTCTTTTTTTCCAAGAAAGTCAAAGGTGCTATTGAGCGAGGAGATTATTTGGGACCAGTCCCTTTCATCCTTGCTTCCTATTTCTCCAGGAGAAATTTTTATATGGACCCAATTCACAACATTATTCCTCACCCATTCAATAAAATCACACCTACAATCAAATAAAAAATTATGTGTCTTTATTTTTTACGATTTTATTTTTTATAATAAAACATATTTAATTTCTAATCTTTTTTCTTTATATTATCATTAATATCAAAATTAATTTATATTTAATGATATCTAAATATCATATTTTTATTGAATGAACCATGAATGACGTGATGCACTGGATCCATCTAAAAATTTCTTGTTTGTCCACAAGTTGCATGCAATTATTGAATGATATCATGCTTCAAACTTATAGAATATAGGAGAAAATAACTAATTCATATATTTTAACAAAATAATTAAGGATAATAAATATGTCGGAAATTTAAAAACATGGACTAAATTATCCATGTAATTAATAAAACAAATTTATTTAATGAAAATAAACATTGACTTTATGAGGGACAATTTGAAGATAAAAGCTTCTTGAAAATTGTAATTTTATTTATAAATAAAAACAAAGATATATATATATATATATGGAAGTTTTTTCTATATTAAAAGTTGTAATGTTTTAGCATTCATGCTTTCAATTTGTAGAATAATATTCTAGCCCCCGTTAGCCCCGTTTTAAAAAACAAAAATAGTGAAGCGCAAACTTAAAACCTGAAATATTCAATGCCCTTCATGACACCTCTATCGTCATTAATGTTGCTTCTTGTATAGTTTAAATTTAATGACTTTTAAAATCGTCGATTAATTTGTATCATTAATAAAATTTGATTTAAACTAGTCAAACTAGCTAGAGTAGACGTGCAGTAAAGAGGGAAAAATAATTCCAAAATTGCAGGCGTTAGCTGAATACGGAAGTCATTTTCGCATGCACTGCACCTTAAAGACCTGAAACTGTAACAGCTTATCTCATATTTTGGGATAAAACGAGTAAGCGGAAGATAGTCCGTCCAGGCTTTCTAATTCGGGGGTGTAATTTCTGATAGGAGACAATATTTTATCTTCTCAAGCGTGCATTAGATGGCCAAAGTGACGCCATATTCTATCTATATATGACCGCGCAAGTGTGGCACTTTGGTTATTAATCGTGGGAAACACGCAACGGATTACAAATACTTGTGCCGTATTTGTTGCTTTCCAGTGTTTCTCTCAGCATAGGACGATGGAGGCTTTCGTGAAGGCGCCGCCGTGTCGTTGTTCAAGTTTGGCAGTCGGAATGATGGCAGTGATCTTATTATTATTAGGAGGATGGTGCAGGGAAGCCAAGGGTCGGGTGAAACTGCCGCCAAATTTGATAATTCCGGCAGTGTTCGTGTTAGGAGACTCCATCATGGACACCGGCAACAACAACGACCTGGTCTCGCTGGCTAAGTGCAATTATCCTCCTTATGGTAGAGACTTCAAAGGAGGCGTCTCCACCGGCCGCTGTTGCAACGGAAAAGTTCCTTCTGATTTGATAGGTTCTTTTTTCCTGATCATCCTTTAATTAATTTCTTGATTAGTTACTTATCTCTCATCTATCTCTCGTGCTAATACAGTACTCCATATAATCATTTTCAACGTAGCACACCTCTTGATCATCTGTCTTGATAAGGACGTACAGTCAAATAATTCCAACAGTGAAGTCACGATTTTCCACGATCTTATTATTCTATTGTATCTGTCAGTTGAGGAACTGGGAATTAAGGAGCTGTTGCCGCCGTATAAGAATCGAAATCTCAAGCCTCAAGATCTGCTCACCGGAGTCAACTTTGCCTCCGCCGCCGCCGGATATGATCCTGTCACTTCCCGAACAGCAGTATGTGTACATGCACATATATATATATATATATATATTTCTGATCTCATTAACTTCCTCTATTAACGAGGTGATGTGTTGGATTTGGATTATATGTACGAAAATAAGAGAGCGACAGCAATGACGGATCAAGTAAAAGAGTTCAAGGATTACACGGAGAAGATAAGAGGGATGGTTGGAGAGGAACGAACAAAGTTCATATTGGAGAACGGTTTGGTTCTGGTGGTGGCGGGCAGCGACGATATAGCCAACACATGTTATGGTGCTAGCACCAGGCAACTCCAGTACGATGTTCCCGCTTACACTGACTTGATGGTCAACGCTGCCTCCGACATCGTCAAGGTGTCGCATGAGCTCAGTACTTCTTTTAGAAAGAATTAATCTTTTAGTTCATTTAATCGTCACTCTATTACAATTGGTCCCTAAATTTTGAATCCATGCAACTCAATCTCTTTGATAATCCCTAAACTTAAATTCATTACAATTCAATCCTAATAATTTAACCATTGAAAGTTGATTCCTATATTTTTCAAAATAAAATTATAGGACTAAATTATTTGATGAAACTTAGAAATTGATGTTTTAAATAACTAAAAATTATAGGAATTAAATTACATCAAGCTTTTTTTTTAATAAAAAAATAGAAAGGCAGACACTAGCAATTTAAGGTCATAAGCGAGATTAAACACACGACTTCACACTTACTGAAAGGCTCACAGACTGTTAAGCCATAAAGCCATTAGCAATTGCGTCTAGTGAAAATATAGGAACTAGATTTCAATTGAGTCAAAGTATGAGAAGTGAGTTACACCAACTAAAAGTTTAGGAATTGGGAAAACCAAGTCAAAATTATAGGAATAGCAAGTTTAGGGATTAATTTTCCAATTATTCTATGCGCACATGACACATGTCGTCTCTCCCCAACTTCCATTCTGATCAGTTATTGTTATCATGGGAAGGATTGTATGAGGAGGTGGGGTCAAGAAGAATAGGAGTATTCGGGGCGGCTCCGATTGGGTGTGTGCCGTCACAGAGAACCCTAGGCGGAGGAATTCAGAGAGAATGTTCAGAAAAGGAAAACGAAGCAGCCAAGTTATTTAACTGCAAGCTGGAAAAGCGCTTGGAGGAGCTGGAACACCGTCTTCCCAATAGCACTCTCCGTTACGTTGATATTTACAACCCTCTACTTGATGTCATCATCAACTACAAAAAATATGGTATTATTGTTAATTAATATAATTAATTAATTTCCTGCTTGCACGTGCAAGTAATTAATTAAATATTTAGAAGGGCAGGTTATAAAGTGCCGGACCGGGGATGCTGCGGGACGGGCATAATAGAGGCGGCGATTCTGTGCAACCGATACACTCCAACTTGTCCAGACATTCAAAATTATATATTTTGGGACACTTACCATCCCACCGAAGCAACCTACAGAAAGCTCATTCCTCCCCTTCTTCAAAAATACGCCGATGACTACTCCCGCGGTATTCATTGAATTCTCTCTTCTCACCGCTTTTTACATTCCATGTTCCTCTTTCTACGTCTGCATCTCTTCGTTTATGAATTTCAATGCGTGTATTACCGTGTGCATATGTTGCTTATGTTTAATTCACGAACTAGCCTGGTGCGTAATTAATTATATTCTAAAATTTCAGTACGTATCTGGTGATTAATTAAAAGCAAGTGAATCAATAAAAGTGCATGCAAGTTTCAAGTAATTTAGCCTCGTTGAGTTTTATATTCTTCTGATGCGGGTAAGGACTTAGGAGAGCATATCTCCATAATTAATCTCACGTGAAAGATGAGGAGCACCAAAGAGCTTCTATATTACGTGTTCCATCTCAAGAGCCTTCTCACAAAAAAAGTGAAGTTTATAAATTTAAAAGCTTCTTCCATCAATATGTTATTTTTTTTTTCTGTTATCATATACTTTTTGAGATGATTTTTCCTTTAAACTTATACATGATGGAATATGAGATAATGAGTAATTAAAATATTATAATTATTTAGTAGAGAAATTTGAATAAGGATTTTTATCAATTAGTATTAGGATTTATTATATATCATTATCTTAAATTTATTTATGCCCAATAAATAAGATATTATTATTCTGTCAATATATTTTTAAATTTTATTTAGGATTTAAATTTATTATTTTATCATTCTTTTATTCTTTTTAGAGTTAAAGTTTTCATTTGTACTCAATTTTGAATTATTATTATATAAAGTTCTATCATTTTTCTCTCCTTATTTCTCTCTCCCTTTCTCTTTTCTCTTCCTCCCCCTTTTCCTCTTCTTTTCCACACCAATACTCGTGACATTTATGCTTTAATTTTATTGAGTGGTCACTCATAGAATAGGAGTACATTGTTATAAGACTTGCATTGAAAAGCCTCACAAGATAAGCGTGGTTTATAAATGTGAGGGATTTTTTCTCTCAACAAATTAATCTTTTTTATAACAAGCTTTTCCTTAAACTTAAACTTGTGTTGGTAACATGAGTCATTTGATATCTTATAAAACAATTAGTGACATGACAGGGACCATGCATGCACCAAAAGTTGACCTCAAGTGAGGAGGCTCTCATGAATTGAATCAATTCAGAGCCACACCCACCCACGGTTTTTTGTTTTTTGTTTAATGAAGGCCAGTAGTGAGAGCTGAATAACTAGAACCATCCGAAAAGAGCAGCAGACTAATAAAGAACCCGTAGATCATCTATCGAACAGTTTCTGAAATTCTTAACTGATGCACTTTGTTGTTCATACTCTCACGTACAGAACAACATGATGCGGCTCATTGTATCCCGCGCACTGTAGAATTCCATGGCAGGCGTGGTGGATCAGATACGCATCTTTGTAATGTACAGTGCCATGATTGACTTGGTTCCCAATAATATTGATTGACTTGGTTCCCAATAATATTGAAGTTTGTAAATCTAACAAATGTAATGTGTGAATTAACACTAATTAATTAATTAATGTGAATTTCTAATTTTATTTTAAGCAATTATTATTATTTTAACATTAAGTTCATCAGAACAGATCACGTACTATATATCTATGTCATGTATTATGTAATATATGCCCATTTACACAGGGTTTGGTTCAAAAAAGGGAAAGGGAGGGAAGGTTAATGAAGGGGAGGGAAAGGGAGGTGTGAGGAGGGATTTAGGCATTTAGCTTCAGTGAACTCTTATTTAGTTTGGAATGAGCAGGGTTTTAATCATTTTTGTTCAGTTCAGAAGGGAAGGGCAGCTTATTAATTATAAAGTGACATATATGCTTTTATGTTGTTTTATTCATTTTTTTTATGAAAAAGGTATTTATATTAGAATTTATGTTAAATTTTTGAATCTAAAAATATTTTATCTCGTTTATTTATGATATTCAACTAGAAAATTATTTATGATAAATTCTGGTTTTTTTTTTATACAGAAAACGCACTAGAGCATTAAGCCCTTAAATCAGAAACTAAAGCTTCCGAAATACAATCTGGAGGATTCGGGAAAAAAAAAAAAAAAAACACATCACCTTCATCCTGCGCCAATGCTTTCGTTGCAAGAATGTCAGCAACACAGTTAGCATCTCGGCTGCACCAATTCACCTTCACAGTCCACTCTCTTCCCAACATTCCTTGAATCTCTGCTATTAGACAACGGTCAGGATGATTAGAGCAATATTCGTCTCTTAGCACTTCCACCACCTCCCAGCAATCAGTTTCCATTTCCACTCTCCTCCACCTTAGATCCCAGGCCCGTTTGAGCCCCCATAGCTCAGCGAAGACACTGCTCCCCTGACCAATATGGAATTTTTTTTAAAAAAAAAGGTTATTTGATTAATTTTAACAAATCATCTCATTGATTTTAAATATATTTTTTGGCAGAAAAATATATTAGGGTTGGAATTGAAGACATATATACAGCAGCTGATAATAGATAGTGGATGGCACATGGAAGTAGTGTCATGTTTGTTATTTAATTGAAGCAATGATATTTAGAATATAATAAAATTAACAAGGACATTTTAGTAATAAAATTTTTCTCCTCTCCAAAAACTATCCAATTGGAGGGCAGCAAAATAAGGAGAGGTGAGGGGAGGGGAGAGAGAAAATTTGCCTCCCCTCACCTTCAACTTTTCCAACCAAGTAACCTTTCTTCCTTTCTTCAAAAAACCTCCCAACCAAACTAAGCCTTAAAAATTCCAACCTGTAACTCTTTAATTAGTAGCAATCAATGATTTTGCTATTACAATCTAACTGTAATAAAAATAGTAAGAGAATTATATTAATTCCATTACTCTTATTTATAAAACAAGCATAAGAATAGTACTTCTTTCATTAAAAAAATGTAGGGTATTTTTAATTAAATTTTACCTTTCAATAAAGTAGTTATTTACTTTTAAATTAACCCTATCTTTTTATATTTATCTCTATCAAATACTCTATGATAAATATAAAGTCATCATCAATAGGGGCACTTTAAAAAAAATGCAACAATTACACCTAAAAAGATTAAAAATGCCTTATATTTTTAAATATCTAACTTTTTAAAAAATGTAAGATATGTTTTAACTTAAGGAATATATGTTATCCATAACCAAGAGAAAAACATAGTGGTATACCTCCTTTTTACAGCTCTCTCATTTATTCGCCGAAAGTTGATGGTAAAGTAGGCTGAAGATTTTACTCTCTTTATTTCTTTAGATCAGCTAAGTAAGGGATCTTCTTCAAGTTCATATACTATATTCACAATTATATTTTTTAGACTTTATATATGCGTGTTTCCTACAAGTCCTGCAAGGCGCGTTTTTATTTAATTTCCGGACCCTTTATAAATGGTTGGAGAAAAAGGAAAAGGTTTGGGAAATTCAAAATTCTCTAGTGATGACGATCATAAATGAGAATAGATGAACCTCCAGACAGAGAATTTTATGAAATGTGGATGGAGGTTATTGGGTGATTTAGTTTCACCGGTACATGTACTGTATGGTCATGAATGCAAACATGTTCAAAGGTCGACAGCCAGAAGTGGTGCAAGCCCGCTGGGCCACTCTACAAGCCATGTTACATACATTTCTTTGTTAAGGAGCATTGGATTCTTCGCCCTTTCCTTAACCCGTACCTTCCTAGCTCCTTCCACCACCACAATTCCCTTTGCGGTCTTGTCATTCAAAAGACTTCTTTTATTGTAACCTCTCAAGCACCGATCAAGTGCGCGATCACGCCAGATTTTTCTTCACATTGGAAGCTATTCAAAGTGCTTCATTGAATGATGAGCTCGAGGGGGACCTTAGACATGCAAAAAATGGCCTCCCTTAAAACTTGAACTAAGTTATGAGGACATGCATATGAAGTGATGATTATGTTTCTTATTCTTCCAAGCGATTAATTTGAACGTGTGCTTAGTTTATGTGACGGAAATTGTTAAAGGTTACATATGTACATGCTAAATGATCAACTAAAATAATTTTATATATTAAGTTGTCTAAGTGTAAGGGTACATAAAAATTAGGCTTAAATAATTAATATATAATAAAGTAAAAAGATTTATAAATTTAAATTTTGAGATTTTAAGTTAATTTTTCACTCCTCTTACTTTCATTCCTATCTAACAAGTAGTATCAAAGCCAATTTTACCTAGGACTTGAAAAAGCAAACTCACACTTGAGGGGTTGTTCATGTTGAATAAAAGTCAAATTTAATAACTAGTATGTAATAAAATAAATAATTAAAGTTTATTTTTATTTCTAAACTTTTTTCAAAGAGCGTTGAGCAACTTGTATGAATAAGCGAGGCAATTTTTTTCCTACACTATTTTTTCGATGAGCAAAATATCCTTCTATTAGTTAATCATTAACTTTATAATTTTTTGTTAATGTAACATGTGTGGGGCGCGCACACACAATAATGGATGGGATTCTAACTAATCATATTATTTGGTGTCAATTTGCTCCCAAACTACTTTTCTAGGGACATTGACCAAAAACTTTAAATAATTATCACCCCTAAAAAAATAGTTTAAAGCATAATTAACATTGAATGACATAGTCAGGGTCTTATATTCATGTCATTATATATAAGCCCCATGCACTATATATATGCATAGCGTGAGATGATTTTTTTGCTCTTTAAAAAATAGTTAAAAAAAATTGTCCCATTTATACTTGTAGGATGCCCAACACTTTGAAAAAAATGTTGGGAATAAAAATAAACCTTAATATTGAAACACAAGGATTGTAAACTTGAATTTTAAAGTTTTAAATTAAAATATAATATTCTTTCACGGTTATTAGCTTATTTATTCACTGCTTCATTTTTGGGTGGTCGATTTCCATTAACAATACATTTTATATGTTTAATTATTATCAGGCCAAACGAGTAGGGACGGATCCACGTTTGAGAAATGAAGGGCGACAGCCAATGAACACGAGTAGTGCATGTACATTTTTCTTTGTTCCCTTCTCAACAAAAAAAAAAAAAAACAAAACAAAACAAAACAAAACAAAAGAATAGAATCACTTCTGGGACCCCCGGCTTTTGACAAAATGACTAACGAGGCACAGCTACATGTGGTTACTAACCCATGCCTCCAGTATAAGCTAAAAGAGGAAATTATTAAGATATGTGTCAACTGAGATGGGTCTTCTATTTTGATTTACAAATTTATAAGGAATAGTGGACCGCATTTTACAAAAACTGAACCAGGCTTTCAATGCAATTGTTGACGCCGAATACAATTTCACTTTTTTTTTAGTTTTTGTAAAGCACATAGCAAGTTAAACATTTGAAGCCGGCGGGATTGAAGCAACGATCTTTCATTAAGGATGAACTTCATGTCACTGGCTATGCTTATTATAGCTTTCATCTTCTTCGAATAGAGTCACTTAATCTATATTATTTACATGTTTAATTTATGTAGTTATCTTACAATAACTATGAGGTATTTCTCTTAGAGTAAGTGAGCAAATTTTTCCTAAATTTTATCTTCAGTACTATTATAGATTTTAAATTTATTTATTAGATAAATTATTCTCTTAACTTTTAAAAATAGTGTAATTGGACTCCTATCATTAACAAATTTTATTTTTAATCTTTAATTGATTAAAAAATGATAAAAAATACCTCAAAAATTACAAAAAATTACAAATAATAATCCAAAAAATTACAAAAAAGACCAAAAATTTTTTTGATCAACTAACAATTAGAATTATTTTTTGTTTGTATTGTTTTTAAAAATTTAGAGAATAATTTACATAATAAATAAATTCAAGATCTATAGAGTTATTGGACTAAAAATCAAAAAATAATTTGGTCATTCATCCTTTCTTTTATAAAACACAGAATAGTTTTCGTTGATAGCAAAGATGACTAGTTGAGGCACCGGCATATCACTTCCAGTTAAATTATCATATATACAATTATTAGGATTATTCAAATTACTAACCACTTTCATATTAAAAAATTACTAACACTTACTTGCTTAAGTGATAAGAGTTTAAGTTGGATGACAATGGATTGTTGGGCAAGGGATTAAAGGCGTTAAAATAGATAACCTAAAAAATTGAAAGATGTTGAAAATAAAGATTAAAAATAAACTGAGATAATTTGGTTACATCTATTGTTGCATATATTAAAAAGACTACAAAAAATTACCATAAAAAATATAGAGGATTTATAATATGTATATATTTGAAATAATATTTTAAATAATTAAGAAAATCCCCCTTAGGGGGAATAACAAGAAGTGACCATCACTGACCACTGTAGTTACTACATATGGAACAAACTCGTTTTTTCTCCGTGATGATCTTCTTAACTTTGTCCACAAAATTGTCATTGAGTGTATTGAATAATGATTATTATAAAATTTAACCCGGAATATCTATCTCACACGACAAAGTAAACGTAACTGAACTGAGTTGCCCAGCTGGCTATAGCTACGTTTTTGTTACGACATATCTCAATTAAATTGTCTGGTAGACCCATGTGCCGCTGGCTTGAAGTAACATAAAAGGAAGGACACACACACACACACACACACCCGGGGGGGGGGGGGATTGAGCATGTGGTTGCTTTCGATATGATTAAATTAGACTTAAATGAATTGATGATGAGAGACAACAATTTTTCACGATCGAAGACTCATAAAACAGTAAGGTGTAGTTGCCATCTTTTTGTTTACTGTCGTTTTAGTATATTAGTTGATTAAATTTGAGGGAAAAGGCAAAGATATCTTTTTGCTTGCCGTCATTTTAGTATATTAGTTGCGAATTAAATTTGAGGGGAAAGGCTAAGATTAGATGCATCATGTGATCGACCTTAGTTCAGCAACACCACTTTAATACGTCACTGCGATTAAAAAAAAAAAAAAGAGGAAGGTAAAAGAACAAGCCATTTCACATAATTTCAAATATATGTTGGCATGCATGTGGTCAAGGTAATATATAGAAGAAACCTGCGAATTTTCTTCTTCGAAATGGGATGGAGGATGAGGGGTGAGAAATTAAGAAACAAACGATTACATATTCACTACGGGACCAGATATGGAGGATCTCAGGCGCGATCATTGTCCTGAACTTATGGGATAACAAATCAAGCATTCCAACGACTTCCAAGCAACAGAGCCCAAAAACAAAAAAACAACAAACGTGAGAATGGGCTGGATTCGATTATATGTAGGTAAATGAAGGAGCAAGTTCGTCCATTCGTTTCGATGCCAGTGCATTATTCTGTTGTTAGATGGAACCATTTAATGAACGTGCAATAAATGAGGTCGAACAAAGAGGCGAGTAAGAACGAGTGACGTAAACAGGGGCGCACCGAGGAGCACCCCCTCCCAAAAAATAAAAAATAAAAACTGCCCAACTTTGATACATAATGAGGTTCATAAATTATACATGCACAAATTAATATATATATATATATATATATCTTATTTTGTTAGTACTTAAGCATATACTTCCTCCTATTTATATTATAGGATAATTTTAAAAGCCCTACTTAGTCAAAAAATAAGGCATTGGGTAGTTTTAAAATTCTTTTTCAACTATATCCTTATTTTATTTATTTTTTTGAACCATAAAGTTGTTACCAATACCTTATGACTTAATTATATTATATTGTAGGTAGGAGGGAGTATGAAATAAGTTTATTTAAAAATATTGAATAAGGTTATTTTTTATTATTTCAATTGCTTGTAGTATTGGTTAATGTTGGTTTAATTATATTAAATTTTAAATTAATGTTAAATAAATTTAAGGATTTATTTTATTTAAATGATTAATTATAAAGAAATATAAAAGTACATTATAAATATAATTTTTACATATTCTTTATAGTGTTGAAACTAATATAATAATATGTAAAATATATTATTTTGCTTGAAATAACTTTATTTTTATTGTCTTATAATGATAGATATTATCTTATGAGTGTTTCCAGATAACAAGACTGTTTTTAAAAAATTTAAAAACTATAAACCAATGGGCCCCACCTTCCAAATCCACGCTGGTCCTGCCCCCGTCTGCAAACGAAGGTGGGCGAGGAAGTAACAAAGTGAGAGGGTTAAGCTGGAGTGTATGAGTTGCTTTTGAACAGTACATTTATTTATAGATCTAGAAGAAGTACCCGTACAATCTACAATTGTATATATACAGGTGGAGAATTAAAAGAACAAAGCAAGGAAGCAGATGGCACTTGTAGTACGTGTCAGAAGCAGAGTGATGGTTGGGGTGGTGGTGATAGTACTGTTATTATCAGTGCTATGGGGGAGAACGGAGGGGCTGGCGAAGTTGCCGGAAAATATGACGGTGACGGCGGTGCTGGTGCTCGGAGATTCTATAATGGACACGGGGAACAACAACAATAACCCCACGACCTTGGCTCGCTGCAATTACAAGCCTTATGGTAAAGACTTCCAAGGAGGCATCCCCACCGGACGATTTGGCAACGGAAAGGTTCCCTCCGATCTCATTGGTACTAATCTCTTTCCTTTTTTCACTTTAACAATCCTTTGCTCTTAGTTGAAACATGCATGATTTTGTGTTCAAGACAATATAGCACTTTTGCGAATTTGATCAATCTATCTCCATCCTTCATACTAGATTTTGTGATTCAGTCAGTCCGGTATTTCATTGCTGTCTTGCTTTCTAAGTACAAGCAAATAATTAATTAGCTCACTTGAGCCAATTAATCAAGTGAGATAAATAATTGTTAACTGTACGTGCATTTCGGTAGTTATTTTATTTTTCCTCCCAAAGACTTGAAGTCGACATGGTTACGTACAAAGGCGCGTTTAGTTTCCAATAACGTGATGTTCTGTACATAAAATTTTAGATATAGCAAACCCACTCGCGTAAGGTGAGTTTATATCAATAGACAGAAAACTTACAAGTACATTTAATTAGAAATACATAACTACTGAAAAACTCTCTCTATTTTTATATATAAAATATTTTTATTTAGATCACACATAATTTATTATTTATTTAAAATCTCATTAAATCACAATAATTTTTTAATTTTGCTCTTAATAATGTCAATGAATATGATAATGATGACGGGCAAAATACATAATTAATATTTTTTTTAAGACAAAGATAAAATTATTTAATAATTTAAAAATGTCATAATACATTTTATATTTATTGATCAAATAAACTTTTAAAAAATATTTTATATATAAAGACGAATGGAGAACAAGAAATGATATGCATCAACTTTAATTTAATAAATAAATGAGCCCAAAAATCAACGCAATATTTGCAACCAAGAAACCTTTTGAACACGCACACATGCATATATTGTTTCAGTGGAAGAACTGAGAATCAAGGAACTGCTGCCAGCATATTTGGATCCAAATCTCCAACCTCAGGATCTCCCCACTGGCGTCAACTTTGCATCGGGTGGCTCCGGATACGATCCTTTGACCTCCAAATTAGCGGTATAATTAATATCAACCTTAGATATTCATTTCTTAATGAATTACCATGTACCTTCTCTCCATTCCCTTTAATGATGATCAACTAATTGTACTTTGAATATTTCCATCGAATCAGTCAGCCATATCGCTGACTGATCAAGTGGAGCTGCTCCGACATTACAAGGAGAAGCTGAAAGCACAGGTCGGAGAAGACAGAACCGATTTCATCATATCAAACAGCATCGTTTTCGTGGTCGCAGGCAGTAATGACATCTCCAACACTTACTTCCTGTCTCGCGCAAGACAACTCCAATATGATGTTCCTGCTTACACTGACCTTATGGTCACTTCTGCTTCTAACTTAGTGAAGGTATGTACAGACACACGCAGTTTTACTAATTAAGCATGCGTGCTCATGGGAAAATCTGAATCTGAAGAATACATTTGTGTGATGAATAATTAAAAGGATTTATACGAAGTGGGGCTGAGAAGAATTGGAGTGTTCAGTGCACCGCCAATAGGGTGTGTTCCATTTCAGAGAACAGTAGCTGGAGGAGCAGAAAGAAAGTGTGTAGAAAGATACAACGAAGCAGCCCAGTTATTTAACTCTAAACTCTCTCGAGAGCTGGCTTCCCTTAATCGTGATTTGCCCAGTAGCAGAGTCGTTTATCTTGATGTTTACAGCCCTCTCCTTGATGTCATCGTCAACTACCAGAAATATGGTAATCGTCCATTAATTACTCCTCACTTTTAAATCATCATTACATTAATTATTTGAATAAGTTACTATATTATATATCCATTGATTGCAGGGTTCAAGGTGGGAGACAAAGGATGCTGTGGCACAGGTGAAATAGAGGTCACAGAGTTATGCAATCATCTTACACCGACATGCCCTGTGGATTCAGAATATGTGTTTTGGGATAGTTTTCATCCAACTGAAGCTGCTTACAGAAAGCTAATCAGTCCCATCCTTAGCAAATATGTCAACCAATTCTCTTGACCCAACTTATTATTTGGATGATGATGATGATCACCATTAGTTATAATCTTACATAAAAGGCGATGATTACGAGGTCAATTGCGTCAACCAGCAAGATGCCAGTATCAATAAAATCTACAGTCACTGTGTCTTGAGAGTGATGGTTTCCGTTGTCTTTTTGTTTATCCTTAGTTGTTGGAGATATATTCAACATTAATTAGTCACAAACACCAAGTGACCATTAAAGCTACGTGGAAATCCTTCATGTATTTCACGAAGTGTGGACAATGAAAATAACTATAGATTTAATATTTGATATTAATTATATTGACATCGATTGATAGCAAATTAAAGATTCCCATGTCCCTTAAATTAGGTGAAATTATAAAGTAGATCAAAGAATACCGTGTCCTCAATTTCGTGAATTGGTCTTTTCTTAAGCACCAAGTGAATTGCAAATGTGTGAAAGGGAGAGAGATCACACAAGTGAAATTTATTGGAAAACTTCTTCATGAAAAACGCGCAATACAATATTATTTTTCAAGAATATCCATCTGTTCTGTATTATAAGGTATGTTTAAAAAAATATCATGTTAAAAAGTTAAGATATTTTGAATCTTTTTAAAAGTATAAATTAATAAATTTTTTTTAAAGAAATACTCTAATGCATTTCATATCATTCAAACACTCTGAATGCTTTCTTTATGGCTTTTTTTTCCCCCATCAGCAATGCTTTCTTTGTGGCTGGACAAATGCTAGGGGCCTTATATATGTACTATAATGTTGCAGTAAATATATTTTTTGATTATATTTACAAAGCAAAGAGAATTTTAATCCCATTTATAAAGCAACTCAATGGCTATTATGTTTATCTTTATCATTTTATCCCTATTAAATATTAAAAAATGCTAAAACATTTTATTTTAAAGTAGGTGTATTCAATAAAAATAAAGTTAAAAACTTGTTAAATTTTTAGATAAAATTAATAAAGTTTAAAGTTTTTCTTGATTCTGATAAAAATGCTAAAAGTGACTTATAGATAGCAATATTTTCAGAACCAAATCGAATATTAAACTGAAAAAGTCAACGATTTATGATTTATATAGTCCAACTTAATGGTTGAATTGATGGCGTAATAATTAAATTAAAAAATTACATATATATATATATATGATAATTTAAATATAAGAAATAAATATGAAATTGTTACTTAACTTAAAAATAAAACCAAATATTTTAAAATTATCATGACCTAATAAGCCACATAATGCAACATAACATCAATGATTAAAAAATTATTTTTTTTCTAAAAAATTTGATAAAAAGTAAAAAAAGAAAAAATGATATTTTTTTAATAGTCTGATTTTTAAAATTCAAATCCAATTCTCAATCCAAAGCGATCCAACTTTTTAAATGATTTTTTCATATTGACAAAGACAAAATTCAATTCGGTTTGATTTTTGAATCATCAATATAAAAGATTAGAGGGAGTATATGATATATGAGAGATCAAGCCTAGTTTATTTTAATTATCAGTGAATTAAATTTGTATTATTTAAGTTTTAACTCAAATGATTGCTAACATTTATTAAGAGCGAATGGAAGGTACAGCATTTAATTAGATGTAATTAAATGACCGACAATGGATAGAAATAGTGAGAGTAATAGGTCGCGTCAATTCCGCATTATTAGTTGGGGGTTACCCATCCATTTCTTCATCATTATTCATCATACACGAAAACAACAACATCGCAGACAACAGTTCGTGCCTCACTCTCTTACGTTACTGAGCCTACTGTTTGTATTTTCTGTTTCAAAAGTGTCTTTATTTTACTTTTTACAATATTTATCTCAAATATTAAAATTAAATGTTTGTTAAAGTGTCCATCATCACGCTCTACTACTATGCATCATTAGCATCGCTAAATATAATTGTAAAGTTAGTTAATTGTTTTTGTTAATGTTACTAGGGCTATTGCTTTTTGTGTCCTGTCCCATTAATCGTGATGCCCCGTGTTTGGTTTCGTCCCGAAAAAGGAGGAGTTATATTTTATCGGAGAATTTAGAGTTTAGATGAATAAATGAATTTTAATTTCATTTTAGGATGAAGCCATTGTAAATTTAGAACGTTTAGTCTTTATCACATTAGGTGCAAGATTTGACGCTGACCTCCCACAATTTGGCATTAAAATCTTATTTAGCCAATATCTATAGGTAAGGATTTCATAGACGCTTTCCAAAATAATAGCGAAATTTGAGAGTCATGTAGCATTTATAAAAGTTTCATCAATTAATCCACACGTGTCAACCATTAAAACTGCCAAAAGAATTGGATTAAATTGGATTTTAATTTAATTCAAAGTCTGATCTTTTTCATGTAAAGGATTGAGTTTAGTAACCCATAGTCCAATCTAATTATGTTATAACTCAAAAATTAATATGATTAGACTTAATTCAGTAAGATTGAGAGATTGATTCTAGCAGTTTAGTTCTCACTTAATTTTTTTTTCTTTTTTCTGATAAACTTATAAATTATAATAAATACTTCTAACCATAATAAATTCATAACAATCTCCAATATAAAAAAAAATATTTCAATCACAATCTAAATGATTCAAACTCATATAAACAACAATATTCAACCAATCTTCATTACAAGCATAACTTCCACGGCAGCAACATTCAACCAACATTCTACTGTAGAAATCCATATTCATCACCCTTCCAAGTTGCTCTTATTGAAGAATACTTTAATACTTTAAAGCTCCACACATAGGAAGGACCCAATCTTTCTTACAATGGATTAATTACGTTAATTCACATGTTTGTGGTCAAAGTTTTAAAAGTTAAATGCCTGATTTTAAGAAACAGTGGTTTGGAATTCTCCCCAGTACAAGAATAAATTTCGAAACCAATCGAGTAAGGGCAAGCATGTCCAAGTTCAACTGATTAATTCTAGTCTATTGAAATAAATAATAACGACAATAATAAGCAATTCATGTAGAAGACTAAATGAAGGAAACAAATCAAAACCAAATGGAAGAAACTAGAATTAGAAACAATTAGGAAGACGGTGAATCAGAGGTGATGAGGATCAAAAACCAAAATCAAAAAAGAGACTCCAAAGTCCAAGCCAAAATTATCTCACTAAACAATCAGGAAACAAGAATTAGAAATGAACACCTGGTGTACTTGACGGCGCCATGTGCTCGACTATGAATCAAAAACGAGAGGTGACCACCGACATGATCGACAATGGTGGTGGAGGGCAAGTGCTAGGGCTTCGTTTTTGTCTTTCCGAGAACGGGAGCGACTTGAGGGACCTCTCTAGCCATCTCATTGTGTACGTAATGATTCATAAATTAATCTTAATTATATTAAATAAATATACAAGACCACACGAGACCACTTGATCTAGATAGTTGGCCTACTGTTTGATCTTATCTAAAAAAGCAGTCTAATCTTTTTGATTCTGTAGAATCAATACTTTTAAGTACCAGATCAAACCAGGTTATTACAAGTTGGATTAGACTAAAAGACTTCTGCACAGCTCTATCAACTATATGACAGGCGAGTGGATCTCCTTTTCTTTTTTTAATAAAGGGAGAATTATTTTGAGGTTTTACACAATATAATTAAATACCACAAGGTTCACAGATATCTGAGTAAAAGAAAATGACAACTAAATAAAATTTATTTTATTTAAATGTGTTTCTGTGGGACTTATATGCAATTCTTTTTTTAATAAAAGGACATAGCAAAGCAATTGAGAGAGAGTCATTACTGTTGGAATTCCGGTGAAGTTCAATAATTTCCCTCCTAATGGTAAAGATTCTTAGGAAGTTATGCCCACCGGCCGATTTTCTAATGGCAAGGTTGTATCTGACTTTCCAGGTACACTCATCCTACCTTCCCCTCCTATCTCCCCCCATGCCTCTGCACTTAAGAGATCTGATCAATTGATAGAGGCTGAAGAACTCAATATCAGGGGGCACAAACAATGTTCCCTGATAAACTCTTGATTCGCTAAGAATGGGCCTCATTATGTGGGCTCAAACCGGGATGAAATATGTGTTTAGTGGGCCAGATATTTAAAAAAAAAACCGTAAGGATACAAAGGTAAACTGAAAGTCTACGGGAGTGGAGATTCTCATGCAAATATCTGGCGTTCTTCTCTTTCCCTCTTGCCACACTCCATGTTACCAGGGACGAATCCAGGATGAGTTACTTTTTTTTTTTGGGGGGGGGGGGACAGTGGAAAAATAAGAGAGGGATGGGGGGGCTAAAAATCCTTCAATATTATTTTACAAGTGAGAAACATAGAAATAAATAGCAAAAATATATATATATATATATATATATGAAAGTGTGGGCGGCAATGGCCCCTCCTTCCCCCCCTAGATTCGTCACTGCTTGTTACTGTGGAGTTTCTCCTTCTTCTTCCTGTAACTTTTGTGGCTTCCATTGCCTCAATGTTCCCTTATCTATCTATCTATATGCTTGTAACTAGATACTTTAATTGTGTTTTTATCATGAATCAATTTTTTAGTGCATTACATCCAATAAAAATTTTATGAAGTTTTTGTGAATAAGGAGTGACTGCCTTAAAATGGGAAAAATAAAAGTATGCAAGAGTAACAGAAACACACCCCATCTTAATTAAAAACTTTAACTTCAAATATAAAGATTCAAGTTTATAAATTCTTGTTTATTATTTTATAGTAATTATTAAGTTTAATTTTATTTGATGTGAGTTAAGTTCACACACACTTGACCAAACTCATGCTTTTAGAAGTTCAAAAAAGAAGGATATACCGCTTGGTTGCTTCTGCTTGTTTGGGAAGCCGCTAAGTTATCAAAAAACAAGTCATTTCACACAATTTCACATGCTGGCATGTGGTCAAACTTTTATGTACAGAAACCTGTGAGTTTTCTTCTTCGAGGTCACTTCTCCTTCAAAAAGGAAAGAGGATAGGGTGAGAGAATTGAGAGCAACGAAACGATCATAGATTCAAAACAAATTAAAAACTGCAACGGATTAAAGTAAAAGCAACTGAGCAAAATTGCGTGGGATGGGCTGGAGTTATTGACTTCTGAGACGTGGTCTGGTTATACTTCCTTTTATTTGTCAGAAAAACTATTATTTTTTATTTAATATTTTATAAACAAAATCATATATATTAATGAATATTTATTATAGATTTTTAAATTATTTTTTATAATTTACATATCAATAAACAATTAATGTATACTTATATGAATTAATACAGGATATTTTAATTTAGTTTTTTCTTATTTTTAAATATAATTATTGTAGTTAAACAATTTTTAAAATTATGTAATACAGTTATATATATACCCCAAGAAATATACTATATGCACAGAAACACGCAAGCACGTCCATACACTTCAATGCCGCCAGTGCACTATTGAAATGCTGTTAGATGGAACGATTTAATGCACGCGCAATTAATGAGGTCGAACTAAGAGGAGAGAAAGGACGAGTTTGCTAATAAAGGTCGGCCAGCGAGGGAATACCAGAACGAGAGATTTACGCTCTATTTGGTTGGAAAGAAAAATAAAAGGAAAGAAAGTATGAGAAGAAAACACGAGAGGAAAGAACTTTTTTCTCTATTTAAATAGGAGAGAAAAAGTGAGAAAAAAATATAGATGAGACGAAAATAAGGTGTAAGACTCGTTATATTTTTTTTTTTACTTTTTTTTAAAAATAGAGATATGAAAGTAAAATTTTATTTCACAGTCTATCCTTCCTCTTTCTCTTATCAATTATGGTGTTCAGACATTCATCTATTTTCATTTTTATGCGTCTTAGTGCTCAGGAGGCTCCCATCTTTGATTAACCCAGGCAGCATCATGGTCTTCATCAATGGCTTCGTATTTTCCAGCGTATTCCTCACTGCAATTCCTCCATTTGTTTCGTGGTCTTCATCTTTGAACAGAAAGTAAAAGTGTCCACTTTTGATTTTTAAAAAATGAAAATAACATATTTTTATGAAATTATTTAATGTTAAAATATTATATGAAAATGCATTTTTAACTACTAATTTTATTTTAAATTAATTTAATTATGTTAATTTTAATATAATTACTTTTAATTTATTTTTACACCTATAATTACACAAAATATGATATATTTTGATACAAAAACACTATAGTTATTATGATATCTATTTATTTTATTTTTTATTTTCTCGTGCCCATTTGAACAAAATGAGTGATAACATTTTTTTACTAGTTTTTTCTTCTCTTCATTTTCTTTCCTCTTAATTTTTGTTTCCATCCAAATAGAAGGTTAAGCTAGAGTTATGAGTTGCTTTGAAATACTCCTTTGATCTTTTTTTTAAGTCACTTTTAATATATTTTACTAGTATCAAAAAAAATTTTAAAATTTATTAACTTTATATTAAAATTTAATAAGTTTTTAACTTCACTTTTATTAAATATACATATTTTAATAATATATTTTTTCTTTTCATATTGAATGAGGTAAAAGAAAAAATTTATAATAAAAATTTAATAATATAATTTATAAATAAGATTTTTTTTTCATCTTATCTTATAAATAAGGTAGAGGGAGCACTAGCCTGTCCATCTATCTAGAAGAACCACCACCCTATGTATACGATCTACTACAGTTATACTATATATTGGCATAGAGAGAATTAAAAGCAGCAAGCAACGAAGCAGCTGGCACTATGGATGCAGTACGTGGCAGGGAGAGAGTGTCGGAGGTTGTTGGGGCGGTGATAGTGCTGTTAATATCGGTGCTATGGGGGAGAACGGAGGGGCTGGTGAGGCTGTCGGAAAATGTGACGGTGCCGGCGGTGTTGGTGCTCGGAGATTCGATAGTGGACACAGGGAACAACAACTACAACCCCGCCACCCTGGCTCGGTGCAATTACAGGCCTTATGGCAAAGACTTCCAAGGAGGCATCCCCACCGGCCGATTCGGCAACGGAAAGGTTCCCTCCGATCTTATTGGTACTTATCTCTTTCTAGTTTCTTCTCCTGTTCTCCACTTATCGGTATTCTCTTTCTTGTTTCCTTCTTTTGAAAATTCAAATCTATCTCTACATCATTTAAATTAGATTTTGTCGTTCATTCCACCATTTCATTTATGCCCGAATTGGTTAGGGTAGTGATGTTAGTAGCAAATAATTACTCCCCCATCCTTGTATATAAAATATTTTTAATCAAATTATATATTTTTTTATTTAATTAAATTTACATAAAAACACAATAATTTTTTAATATCATGATAATGATAAAAAATATAATTAATAATTTATTTTATTTTTTAAAATAAAAATAAAATTATTTAATTATTTAAAAATATTATTTTCACCCTTAATATTTAAGAATAAAATAAACTTTTAAAAATACCTTAGCTCACTTGAGTTTTGTCATTGTCAGGCATAATAATCCGTCCTAATCTCTTTATTAAAAAAAAAACACGTATAAAATCTACTTTTGTCCTGTAACTTTCAGTTTGTATCTTAATTTGTAAAATATTTTTTAATTGTGTTAACTTTAAATAATTATTTTTATATCAATAATTATTATTTTAAAAAATTAAACTTAAATTTATCAGTATTTGAAAATATTTTTTTAATATTTAAAAGTTTAATGCAGTAATTTCTTAAAACATTGGTAGGATTATGGGATTGAGAAGAGAAGACACTCTATAAAAAATTTTTAAAAAATGAAACCCCTTATAAAATTAAAAGATTAAATGCTGTTTAGTCTTTAAACAATAAAACAACTGCTTCCTTTTGATTAAGAAATATGATTAAGATTAATAAATATATTTGAGATTTAATCTTTTTTAAAATACTTTAATTGATTATTTGCCATAGCAGCTATGTATTTAACAATGCTAACTTTACGTGGGTAAAATAATTTTTTTAATAAATACGAGGGGCAATGGGTATTTATTCCTTATATTTACAAGTCCAAACAAAAGTCAGTCTTGTTTTTTTATGAAGAAGTTTAAATTAAAAAGAATAATTGTTAACTACGGTTATTTTATTTTTGTCTTGAAACATACAGGATGCGTTTAGTTTCTTAATGATCTGATGTTCACGGATCAGTACATAAAATTAAACTTTATAGCAACACTCTCGCGTGAGGTGAGTTTTTTGTTTTTGGGACCTGAGTCAGTTGAGTTTATATCGAAGGTCAAAGAGTTAACGAGTACATTTAACAATGTGATAACATTAAATGATATGTCTCAACTTTAATAACCAATGTCAGCATGCAACCCAAAAAAGCATGCAATACTTATACTGCCCCAGCGCTCTTTTAGAAAGATTATTTTGGTTTTTAATATGAAGCATCTGATAACGTATTAATTACATTTTTCTAATATTATTTCTATTTAAATTTATTAATTATAAAAAAATATAATATAAATTTTAAAATTTTTCATTACAATAAGGATAAGATTGAAAGTGTATTATATTTTTAGATAAAATTAATAATTTGATCACCTCTTTCATTGATCTTGGTGAAATAGTTAGGAATGTTTTATATTCCTTTTGATTCAAAATAGAAACAGTTTTCAACAATAATTTACATATCATTAACCTTAATCTCAATGACCAATGATGAGAGAGAAGAATGTCATAAATTCATACAAAAATTAAAGTTAACAAATACAATAGATAAAATAAGAAAAAATTACAACTATACTTACTGAAAATATTTTGGACAAAAATTAGCTAGAAGAAAAGGCTTATATTTAAACCAAAGTGAGTAGTAGTCATTTAATTAGTTCACTTTTTGTCTGCATGTGCTCAGCGTTTGATGTTTTCTAGTAAAGCTGAGTTTAGAAGTGTAGTTTAATGTACTTAATTAGTATATAGTATATTAACATTGCTCAAGTTTCATGTAACTCATACATATTTACGCACACAACACTCTCATTGATTGCAAGATAGGAATAATTTGAGAAAAAATAATTAATGAGATAAAAAAGATAGAATCTTAATTTATATCGAGGACCAAAAAAATTTCTCAAGTAATCTTTACATTTAGACGCGAATTGGGACAAGCTAGTAATAGGCTTTCCGTTAATTCATACAGAAATATAAGAATTAAAACAAAATGATCAACGTGCGTGATAATAAGGACTTTCATTACTTAAACAAATAATTGAAAGTTTGAATCATAACTTTTGTGTATATAGCAACTTAATTAAGATAAAAGTATGCCCTTTATATTCAGTATTTTAAGGAAGATAATCTCTGATGTCATTGGAGTCTTTTTTTTTTTTTTAAATCGAATGGAGTCTACTTTTTATTGCTGTAAAGAAATAATTAAAATGGGGTGGAGATTATACGGTTCCTTGATTTGCTCAAGCTTACATTAATTGGTTGAAGCAGCAGAAAATATCATCAGATAGAGTACTTGTTTAATTTGGAAAACAAACATTAATTAAAGAAAAGTGCAAGGCAAGTGATAGGGGTTTATGTTTGACTGTGGTTTAAAAAATTAGGAGCTGGGAATTACAACTAAGCAATATTAATTAATGTGAACATATAATGTGTCAGTGGAAGAATTGGGAATCAAGGAACTGCTGCCAGCATATTTGGATCCAAATCTCCAACCTCAGGATCTCCCCACTGGCGTCTGCTTTGCATCGGGTGGCTCCGGATACGATCCTTTGACCTCCAAATTAGCAGTATAATTAATATCAACCTTAGATATTCATTTCTTAATGAATTACTACCATATACCTTCTCTCCATTCCCTTTAATGATGATCAACTAATTGTACTTTGAATATTTCCACCGAATCAGTCAGCAATATCGCTGACTGATCAAGTGGAGCTGCTCCGACATTACAAGGAGAAGCTGAAATCACTGGTCGGAGAAGACAGAACCGATTTCATCTTATCGAACAGCATCGTTTTCGTGGTCGCAGGCAGCAATGATATCTCCAACACTTACTTTCTGACCCATGCAAGACAAGTCCAATACGATGTTCCTGCTTACGCCGACCTCATGGTCACTTCTGCTTCTAACTTAGTAAAGGTGCGTACCCTCACACGCAGAGTCAATATATATGTACTGAATGAATGACTGATGATTGAAGAATTAGTGTGATGATGAATTGAAAGGAATTATACGAAGCCGGGGTGAGAAGAATCGGAGTGTTGAGTGCACCGCCAATAGGGTGTGTTCCATCTCAGAGAACATTAGTTGGAGGAATAGAAAGAGGGTGTGCAGAGATATACAACGAAGCCGCCAAGTTATTTAACTCAAAACTCTCAGAAGAGCTTGCATCTCTTAATCGCGATTTGCCCAGTAGCAGAATTGTTTACATTGATGTTTACAACCCTATCCTTGATGTCATCGTCAACTACCAGAAATACGGTAATAGTCGAATAATTGATAATTCATTTATACGATAATCTGAAAGCATTCGAATAACGAACGCGTGTGTGTGTGTGTGTGTTATAATGCAGGGTTCGAAGTCGGGGACAGAGGATGCTGCGGCACGGGCGAGATAGAGGTTGCAGAGTTATGCAATCATCTTCAACAGACGTGCGCCGATGATTCAGAATACGTGTTTTGGGATAGTTTTCATCCAACTGAGGCTGCTTACCGAAAGCTAATCAGTCCCATCCTTAGCAATATGTCTACCAATTTTCCTGACCCCAACTTCTCAGGATAATAATTTTAATGCACATACAACCATCCGTTCTGATAATGTAGTAGTCTATAGCAGAAGCCGTCATCACAAGGGGATGAATTACGTCAACGCCAAGATTACCGAGATCAATAAAATCTTCAATCATTGAGTCATGACCCATGAGGGCTATAATTGTGATTCTGATATCATTGGGTGGGTTTGTCTCTCTATTTGGTTGTTATGTTACTTATGAATTTGGTTTGGATGCTCATTACTGTTGATAAAATTTGAACCATGTAGATTTTGATATGAATGGTCTAGATTGAAACTATTATTATATATATCTATGTTATATTTATTAAAATAAAAGTTTATAAAGATTATAAGATAATTTTAGTAATTTTTTTATTTTTAATATGGTCTAGATTTAATTTGAAGGGTTCAATTTAATATTAAATTTTTTATAATTATTATATATTAACTATTCAGATGCATAGTCTAAATTAATATTAGATTAAATTTAGACTGTGCAAAGTATATCTAAAAAGTCAATATACATTAATTATAAAAATTTTAATATTAAATTGAACCCTTCAAATTAAATCCAAACTATATTAAAAATAAAAATCTATTAAAATTATTTTATAATTTTTATAAATTTTTATTTTAAAATTAATAATATATAATAATAGTTTAAATTTAAACCATTCAAATCTCATCACAAATCTCATCACAGGAGCACCCAAACCAAATCCATTTCTTATCCTTATTTGTTGAGAATAATATTCAATATTAATTAGTCGCTAACACCAAATGACCACTATAGCTAGGTAGGGTTGTCAGATAACATTAAATGACTGACGTTGGATGGAAATAAGGGAGAATTATGTTTTCATATAAAAAAATTAATTAATATAAAATTTATTGATAATTAAAATAAAGCCATTTATAATAGATTATATTGTGACCTTTTTTTAATTATTAATGGACTTTATAATAATTAATTTTTTTATAGAATCAGAATATAATTATTCTTAAAAATAAAAGATTACCTCAATTCCACGCTTGGGCTGCAATGGATTATTAGTTGAGAGATTATCCATCCATTTCTTCAAATTTTTTATCGGATCCAATCTATACTATTTCTCAGTACATTTTTTGTTTTATTTGATATCCTTTATTTGTTTTAATTCTTTATTTGATTTAGTGATATAAGATTGTTAATTATAATATTAAAATAAATATATTATCCATTATCATCATTTAATACTTTTAAAAATACGATCATAATATTTCTTTGTGGTAATTATTAAATAAGATCTCCTGTGATTTGTAATTTCCCTCCTCTTGGTAAAGATTTTCATGGAGTTATCCCCACACTCATCTGCGCATCTACTTGAGATATCGAGTTTAAGGCTGATGATCCTCGATCGAGAGAAATTAGTTGGACAAAAGTGAATGTTATTTGCTTTTATTAAAAAAAATATAGCAATAATTTAGAGGTAACACGGCAATAGTTATCAATAAATTTAATTTTGAAGGAAAATATATTAGACATGAAAATTGGGACAGTAATTTATACTCTCTTCATTTAGAAATATAAGATATTTTTAACCAAATCTCACTCTCAATAAAGTGATTATCTACTTTCAAACTAACCATACTTTTTTATATTTACCCTTATTAAATACCCTATAATAAATTTAAAATCACTATCAATAGAAGTATTTTTAAACAAAACAATAATTATACTTCAAAAAATTAAAAATATATTATATTTTTAAATATCTAACTCTTAAAAAATATTTTATATTTTTTAAGAAAGTGAGCAGATAACAATGAAAAAATGCTATGGATATTTAAAATGTCACCCCGTACGTGTTACTGTAGCATCTTCCTTTGCCTGCCATTTATTGTACTGCGCTATTGATCTCTTTTTTGATAATCTCTCTCTCTCCCCCCTCTCTCTAAAGTGATCTTTATTGAAAGGATGCAAAATGCAAATGGAAGTTCAGTACAAACGACGGTCGGGTCAGGGTCAGGGTCGGGCGGTGCATTGGCAGATCTATATATATGTTGAGGGCCCCTGATTTTTTGAAAACAAGATATCTGTCCCCTGCGGCTGTTGCTTGTGGTGTAATACCAACCATTATCACATCAATCACAATAAGTAAGTACATGTTTGGATTAAATTTTAATTTAGGATAGTATGAATCAAATTTAATTTGAAATCTTAAAGGCCTCATTTACCATGTTTGGATAACAAAGAAAAAACATTAATTAGAGTGCAAACAAGTGTTTTTATCAAAACCCACCCACCTAGCTTTTTTATCAACGTTAGGCATCCAGATATATAAACATTGAAGCATTAAATGTTTTTTAAATTTTCATTCTCTCTCTTCCAATTACTTGCCATCTATTGAGCTCGTGGTCAAAGCCTCATTCTTAGTTGTTGTTCCTATGGTTGCTCTAGCTCACCCTTCACTTTTCCAAAATTGTTGGATTTGAAGAGAGATCACAACCACTGCCGTTGCCATCAAGATTTGATTTTCACTGTGTGTGCAGTGTGTTGTTTGCACTGATTGACAGTGCTATCTTCTCTCTCTTCATTCACGAATAGCATGATTTCTCTTCCTCCACCTCCACAAGTCTCTACTTTTACAAGTGTGCTTGCTGTTGTCTAATCCCTTGCCACAAATCTAACTGAAGATTGTGCTTGTTATTGTTGTCACAATCCAATCTCCCATCAACTGAACCAATGCTTATGGTGTTTTTGGCACAAACAGAGATGGTGTAGAGCATGGCAAAGCCTAGCTGCATGGAGAAGACAAGGTAAGTGGAGAGAGAAAAGGAAAGTATTATCAATGGTGAAGGTGGTGTCCATGAAAATGTTGCATATAAGGTCAATGACGGTGGTGTCAGTAAAAATGTAGCATTGGTGATCGCTCTCACAAGTATACGAGATCACAGTAATAAATTATCTAGAGTATTTCAGGTGTCAAACCCACAGAAAAGTTAAACTTTTACTAATTTAAATAATTAATAGTTTAAGAAAAATAGATAAAATGGATAAATTTGATGAATATATAAGGAATAAAAATAAATTAAGAAAATAATGATGATAAAAACGCAATCACTTGAAGTATTGGAATTTAAGATTTACCCTATAGGTTGCTAGTTTCTACCCCTTGAGTTAACTCATATCAATTATAGTGATAACTATTCTTAAAGTGTTCTGATATTCTCCCGAATTATTGGTTCCTTTGGTGTTGAATTTGTTCCCACGATACCCAAATAACTAATTAAACTGTGAAGTTATAGTTTAATTCACCATAAATTTTTAAAACTATCCCTAATCTAGTTATTTATATTTATTTCTCTAAATCTAGGTTCTCTTCATTTTTCGATCCATTAAAATTACCCATAGATTTGATTAAATGGTGGCCAGTCATTAAATCAATATGAAAAACAAGAGAAACAAATATAATTAAGAAAAAGTAAAAATATTCATAAATATAAATGTAAAGAGTCAAAACAAAGGAAATAGAAAACTAGCTCCTCAATTAGGCTACATCATTACCCCAACTAGGTAATTTAAAAATACATAATAAAATCAAATAAAACCATTCTAAAATCTCCAATCATGAAAAATGATCACAGAGAAAATTGAGGAGTAGAAAAAAAATAATTATAACTTGTGAAGCTCCTCAATGATCTCGCTTTCAGCCTTTATAATGCTTTTATGAACTTCAAATATCTCAGAGAGAATTTTTGAGGCACTTAGATAAGTAATTAGATGCCTTCTCTCTTGATGAAAGGAGTATTTATAGTTAAAGTGGAGGCTCATTCTTTTCTTCTTTGTCGATGTGAGACTCTAATATATATATGTATATATTTTTCTTTTTATTCTATTTAGTTTATTCTTTTTCTCTGCAAAATATAAAGATAAAAAGATATGAGTGAATTTTGTATTAATTTTTTTATCTTATAATTAAATGATGAGGAAAAAATATATAAATATAATCAAATTCAAACTAAAATCTATACCTATTTAATTATAAAATATACACTTATCAGTTGGCAAGGTTGAGACCAAAGTACTAGGAAGTTCTACAGAATAAACCAATATTATAAATAATACTCAATACTTAATACTTAATATCTCTTTTTATGTATATCGTTTTTGTAAATTTAAATTTAAAGTTTAATTTTTTAAAGAGGTCAAATTAGACAAATTTTAATTATATATAGACTATAATCTATCTTTTCATTCACGCTCTTCTTAAAATTTTGATTTTTAAACAATTAATTTATTTTAAATATTTTAAGTCTATCTTTTTCAAAAAAATGTAATTTAAAGTTTATAATTTTTTTAAAAAATATTAAATTAGTCATAAAATTTATGTCCACTTTTATCATTATATATGTTACATAACTTTTGAATTAAATTATTTAAATAATTTTTTATTTATTGAACTGACTTTTGAGGAAAAAAGTATTTGAACATAAATTATATTAAAGTGACAAAATTTTATCTTAATATCAATTTGCTAACCTCAATAAAACCTTAACTTAGTTATAAATTTTTTAATTTAAATACATACTAAGCAATTAGCATGGTGAATATTATTTCAGGCCGAGAATTGGGAATCAAGGAACTTCTACCACCACAACATTTGGATCCGAATAGCAATTTGCCCAGTACCAGAATTGTTTGCGCGGATCTTTACAGCCCAGCCCTTGACCTCTTCATCAACTAATAAACCAAGTCTTGAAAATTGGATCACTAATCCGTTAATTACCATTTCAATTAACATTACAAATATCGATCAGGATTTGAGTATAGAAATGCGTTGCAGGGGGACCTTTTTGCAACCATTTTGACGAGGACACGTGTCCAGATGTCAGACATCATGGGTTTTGAAAAATTTCCATCCAGCTCAAACTGCTCCCCTAAAGGTGGCTGCTCTGCTCCTTCCTAAACATCTCTGGCTACCCACAAGAAAATTTCATTCAACCTCCGATTAAATTTATTTTTATAGGGATATTGTGTTATTAACGAGAGTTGTACATTTTCTCTATATCAATTATTTATTTTTTTCATGTTGTTATTTTTAATTCGAGGGATTAGGTTTATTTATGCTATTTCTCTCAGCAACTTAATTACAATTTA